ACCCTAAGGCCAGACCCAGAAGGGAGTATGACTGGGATCATGAAAGCATGGACCTTGGAACACCGGGTCAGGTTGGCATTAGGTGTGAACACTGTCTATGCACTTGCTGATTGTTCCTGAGACTATCCCAGAAGGAAATGGCCTGGGGTAAAAACAAGGAGATCTGGACTATGTCAATGTATTGTCTTGGGAAAGATAGATCAAAGAAAATTTTGTAGTCTGCAATTAGGAATAAAAGCTGGAATCAGAGTGGACTCTGCATCTCCGTCCAACAGAGGCTGCAGGTCCCCTGACCTGTTGCACTAGATTTCATGTTCTGTTTTCATTCTCTTTGCTTGCTCCTGTACCTTTAGGGCAACAGGTTGCCATGTCCTCCTTCATGGGATCTTCCCAACCCAGGGATTGAACCCATGTCTCCTGCATTGGCAGGTGATTTTTTTTTTTTTTTTTTTTACCACTAGCGCCACCTGGGAAGCCCATGGAAGGGGGACCCTAGTCCATAAACCCATTCTCCCTCCAGGGTTCCCCCACTTTCCTGTCATCCTCATACTCCACCCTCCTCCTCCACTCAAATGTTCACTAAAGGAAAGCCTGTTTCTAGTAGCTTCTTTCCAGGCTGTCAACTGGACTGATTTGAAAATGTTCCTAAAAGGACGATTTGTATACTGAGTACCTTCAGGATTTTTACCTGGCAGGAAGAGGCAGGGAGGGGGTTTGGGCAGCATGGGCAGTTGTCTTGTCAGTGTCTGAGAAGGAATGTCCCACTTCTAGATTGTGGTTTGCAAAGCTCTTGACTGACAAGCCCCGATCTGTGGTGGTGTGGTGCTTGGGACAGCCTAAGCTGGAGAACCACCACATCCTGTCCCACCTCACCCTCTCACCTACCATTGTATTCCAGTTGTCCCCAAGATTGGTGCCTTGGTTGTACCGGTTCCATGCCACTCCCTGTGGTTCATACCTGGAGGGCAGGAGCCGGCCTAAAGCCAGCCCCCTGGGCTTGCTGTGGAGCAGCTGGTTCACCAACCAGGGGGTGCTGCTGGAGTGAGAGATTACGGGGTGAAGGGGCTGGGGGTGGCAGTGGTGAGGGAGGCTGGAAGCTGAGGTCATGGGGGCAGTTCTTCTCAAAAAGATGTTCCATAGGGGGAGTGCTCAGGGACTCGAGATCCCTGTGTCCCCGAGGCATCATTTCCCAGCCCACACACCTCACGGAGACCTGTTAGTGTCCACCTGCTGATAGATAATCCACATTTTGCCTTTGGTTCCACAAACTCATCCAGAAAGCCTGTTAAAATCCCCAGGGAAGAGCCAATCTGTGCTCAAGAGTAGCTCAGAACATCAAAAAACTCAAAGGCAAGGCTTGATGTATAGACAATGTTCTTAGAAGCACAGCAACCTGGATTTTCCCAGTACTGGGAATGCTGGAAACAAATTTAACCATTGAGAGATGAGAGTGCAGCCTTTCGTGCATGGTATCTTGGAAGGTGTCAGGAAGTCTAGAGTCTCATCTCATTTTTAATATTGTTGCTCAGGGATTCTTAACTATTTTTTGCGTTATAGTTCTTTTTGGCAGACAGGTAAGACCTATGATTCTCTTCTCACAATATATTTAGATTGATAAATATGATTACAAAAGACACCAAATACTTTGCCAAAAAATGTACATAGAGTCAAAGTTATGGTTTTTCCAATAGTCATGTATGGATGTGAGAGTTAGACTATAAAGAAAGCTAACTGCCGAAGAATTGATGCTTTTGAACTGTGGTGTTGGAGAAGACTCTTGTGAGTCCCTTGGACTGCAAGGAGATCAAACCAGTCAATCCTGAAGGAAATCAGCCCTGAATATTCATTGGAAGGACTGATGCTGAAGCTGAAGCTCCAATACTTTGGCTATGTGATGCCAAGAGCCGACTCATCAGAAAAGACCTGATGCTGGGAAAGACTGAAGGCAGAGAAGGGGACGACAGAGGATGAGATGGTTGGATGGCATCACGGATTGAATGGACATGCGTTTGAGTAAGCTCCGGAAGATTGTGAAGGACAGGGAAGCCTGGCATGCTACAGTCCATGGGGTTGCCAAAGAGTCGGACACAACTGAGTGACTGAACAACAACAACAAAAGACACCATAATATTGAAATGCACTCATTAAAATATATTAAAAAAAGAACAACACAACAACAACAACAGAAAGCCTGTCAAATGCCTTGCTGATTTTTCAGATGGTTCATTATAGTGAAAGCCCCAGCTCCCATACTGGGGCCATAGATCCCTATGAAACCACAGATTCTAGTTCCCCTGTTGCTCTCACAAACAGTCCTACTAAAAGGCCACCTGCTCTCCTGTGCAGGTCCTCAAAAGATTGTTTGCCGTTGAAAAAGGACATTAACATTTGAAATCACTTATTTGGACACACTGGGATAAAACTGAAGATTGAGAACGGTGTTTCATTGGGATCAGCTACAGAGATATTTAAAAAATCTCCAGCAAGAGTCAAGTTTTGATTTTTTAAAAAATGAACTAAGGATGATTCTGATGTACCCAGTTTGGGCATTATTGAAAATCATCTCCTAATGAATCAATCTGACAACTTATGGAAAAAGCCAACAAAGGGGCAACATCCAGTCCCACATCAGGTGTGGATGCCGGGGACCCTGAGACGGCACCCAACGTGTGTGATAGAGTCTTAAATTGTGCTTCTTCTTCCTTGAAGGCTTGCCTAGGCCACTCACTCCTCTAAACCAGGTGAGGGAAACTGGTGTGGATTAAAGATGGAGTGAACTTACAGTGGGGGAGAGACAGGCTAAACATGCTTTAACACGTACTTTCTAGTACCTCCTGTGCCCCAGGACTGTAGACTAAGAAGTTAATACAGAAGATGGATGATGAACTCTTTTTGCGGTCACACAGAAAGCTACACAAGAGAGGGCCGCCTTCTTAAAGACAAAAAGAATTCATCTGTCGGACTCTGCTGGACAAGAGGTGGAGAGAGAACAGCACTGTGGAAACAAAGTGGAGATGAGACCTAGCATGGCTCACATGTTCCAGGAACTGAACTTGCCAGCCTGGGATGAGGGCAGAGGAGAGTGGTGGACAGTGGGATGGCAAGATGTCTGGCAGGGGCCGGCTCCAGGGAAGCCTCATGTGTTAAGTTCTATTCGGGAATTTGCTGTATGGAAACTGAAGGCTGCAGAGAAGTTTAATCCAAGTGACATGATCCCCAGTCTCCTGGGGAAACAGTGGGGCGCCACCAGAGGCAGGGGAGGGTAATTGGGGGCTTTTGATATAGTCTTGCTGGGGAGCTTCTGAAGCCTTTAAACAGATCAGGGGTGCTGAAAGTGGCTATGGTCAGGGAGTGGGCTGACTGGGTGACATCAGGGAGGGGCAGAGGAGGGAGTGTGTATCTTCCCAATTCCTGTCCAGGTCCCCCGCCAGCGTCAGTACACCAGGGTCACACCAGGTGTGATCACACCAGAGAATCACACCAGGTCGGAGGCTGATGATTCCAGCGCTGAGCTTTAAACTCTGGAAACAATCAACCAATTTGAGGGAGGCGAAATGCGAGAGAAATTAGGAGAATCAGAGTCACAGAAGCCCAGGGAAGGGAACATTTCAGGAGGCAGTGGTCAAGGAAACTGTGAGTGGAAAAGCTGTCAATGTCGTTTGGCCTCAGGCAGTTCAGAGGTCCCTTGTGCCGGGGCTGGGGCGAGGCTGGGCTGCGGTACTGTAGAGGGGGAAAATGAGAAAGCCAGCAGGTGGTGGCTCTGGGCGCCGGGATTACAGACCTCGCAGCGGCTCTGGGTTGGGGAGGGATTTCAGCCGGCGTCCACCGGCAATATGTTTTGAAGTTAAAGATTGCGGTTTATTTCTCTGCATAAGCTTTGATGATAATGGTGAGCAGGGATAATAAACTCGCCAGAATATGGAGAGTGACGGTGACGATGCGTTATATACTGTCTGGGGATCTTGCCAAAATACATCTATTTCGAGGTTGGAGGGAAGGTGCAGAGGGCCGCTAGCCTCTCCTGCACCCGCAGCCTCGCCTCCTTCGGGCTCCCGGGTCGGCCGGCAGGGGGCGTGGCCACCCGTCACCCCGCCCCGCAGCCCAGCGTCACGTGACCTGTCAGTTCTGGGCGATAGCTTGAAAATGGCTGCCGGGTGTGGTGAGGGGACGCCGAAAGCCGCCGTCACCCCCTTTCTAGTCTTCTGACAGCACCTGCGGCAAAGCGGCTCCTTTCCGCCTCAGCGGTGGGCGCTGTTTTGGGGCCAGGTTGTGAGACGGTCAGTGTGGTGGTCCGCGGGGAGGGGCGGTGTGTGTGTGTGTGTGTCTGTGTGTGTGTGTGGTGAGGGGGGCGAGGCCGGTAGGAAAGAAGCCCTGGTTTGTAGGGGCATGTCGTCGAGCGAGGAGAGTCGGCGGCGGCCGGGCGGGGAGGGAGCGAAGGCCTGCTGAGGAAGGGTGAGGCCGGGTGTGGGGAAGGAAGCGTGGGCGGGTGAGGAGGGGGCGACGCAGGGCGCTCGGCTGGGTTCGGGAAGGTAGGGGGCGGGCGAGGACGCGGGGCCTGGCTCTTGGGGCGGGTCCGCACCTGCCGGGGGCCCTAGGACGGTCTCGGACTTGCTGTCCCAGGTGGTCAGCCTCTTCTGGGGCTGCGATGGGGGATGTGTGTGACACCGGTGGGTTGGTTTTTTTTTTTTTTTTTTGGTTCGTTTGTTTTTTACGGGGCTGCCGCAGGCACACCCACCACCACCTCCAGAACCACCATGGCCGGTCGCGCGAAGGCAGGCGTCCCAGGTTCCTTTCCCTGGCCTTTCCAAGGGCGTGGTGGTTGGGTTTTCTCGCTTTTTGTTTTCTCACCAGGCTCCATTACTCCATTGTCCGCTGCAGGCCGTTATTTCAGCTAAGTATCAGCGAGCCATTGATTACGATGCTTCTATGATTTCTTTACAGCGAAGCGACTTTTTTGTCAGCTACTGACGTTCGGTTAGTTTTCTTTCAGATTGTTTTGACATATAGAAAGGTTTAAACCTATTATTATTTAAACCTCTTTTTTAAAAACTATGGAGCCGTCTTTGGTAGCCGCTAGGGGCACCGGTTAAAAATGTGGCTTTCTCAGCCTTACCCTCAGAATTCCCATTCAGCAGACCTGGGGTGTGGCTCAGGATTCCCACCCCCCATCTCCACCTTCCGACGGTAATTATAATGCGTTTTGTCACTCCCTCAACTTGGACAACACTGAGGTTGAGACGTCTAAATTTTTTTTTAAAGCGCCTGAGGAGATCTGATGCAGAGCCAAGGTTGAGAAGTGCGGCGGCAAGGTTGTGTTCTTTGTTCTCTAGCTTTACCAGCATGGAAACCTTCATCGGAATCATTCTGCGGTACTTGTTAAAATCTCAGTTTCTGGGCCCCAGATCTACTGGGGTAAACGCCGAAGGAATATGTATATTGGCAAGCTTCCCCAGCAACTTTGCATACAAGTTTGAGAACCTTTGTTTTACACTCTGAGTGATTTCCAGATTTGTTTTTCCTAATCCTGGGTGGATTCTCCAACTGAGGTTTTTTGGAGCACCTCACATTCAGCCTGGTCTTGTTCACCTAGCAAGGGTGGTGGGGAAGGAGGGGGCAGTAACCAAGCGGAGGAAAATCTTGAAACTTTCTCCTGACTTTGCTTTATTTTTTGTTTATAGGACTGCCATCTTCCCATCACCGGTGTTTGGTATCTAGTCATCTTTGACCTGGTCTTTCATTTCAGATCACATAATTTTTAAAATTTCTACATCCAGAATCTTTGTTCTAGATATTTCAGTAGGTCGAAGGGTCCAATATGGGGGATTTTATCCTGATCAAGTTCCTGTCTCTCATTTCTTCTCCATCCCTAGCACCTTTCCCCTCTCCCATAGGCTGTTTTGGTGGTTCCCTGACTTGTCTGTCTCTAGGGTTCTGATTCAGGATGGCACACAGTACTGGGGGAAGCTTTTCCTGGGATCATGTGAGTGTCCATCCCCCTCTTCCCTGCTTTTGCTCAAGTTCTTTGTCACTTTCTCTGTTTCTGTGTTAGGGCTGTTTAGAAGGCAGGGAACAGTGATTTACTCTTTTACCTCAGGGAAAAGGTAGTGTATAGGACTGACTGAGAATCAGCAAGAAATTGGGATCTAAAGCAGCTCCCACCTTCTGTAGCTCTCTCAGGGGCCTCATTTGTTTTCTCTGGAGAAGTCTTTTTCTCAGTTCACATCTGTCCAGTCCTCTCTCTGCTGCCTGGCTGCCTCAAAACTGTAACATTTTGTTCTTGGCCTGTAATGACTGGGTATCTGGTTTCTAATTTCCAGGTTTAGAGAGAGGAATCTGATTGGCTAAGTTTATCTTTTTGAACAGTCACATGTCCTCATATGCTCATTCCTGGATGTGGCTGATGGTAGTAGAGAAAGGAAGGAGGAGCAGAGCAGGCCCTAAGCTGGTCTGGGAGGAGGGTGGGTGGTCAGGGAGACCTCCCTGGGGGAAGGGACTTTGAAATTGAGACCTCTAGGCTGTCTCTGGGCTGTGGGGGTGGGGGTGGTGGGATGAGTTGGGCAAAGGAGTTTGTCTGGATGAGGGGAAGATCCTGGTTTTCTTAAGGCGAAGGGGAGAATGGTTTGAAGCTGACAGGTAATCTCTGAGGATGCTCTCATATGGAGAATGGGTGTGTGTGTGTGTGCGCGCGCGTGCTCTCGTGAAGAATGGGGGTGTGTGTGTCTGTTTTGAGATAGGTGAGAATAGTGTGTATTTGAGATGGGTGAGACTAGAACCTGTTTAAAGGATTCGTGTGTGTGTGTGTGTGTGTGTGTGTGTGTGTTTTGAGATAGGTGATAATAGAACCTGTTTAAAGGATTCATTTAAGAGGGAAAGCAGAGCTGAAAGAAACCTCTGAGGGAAGGATGGGGCCCTTCTAAGAACATCATCTGATTTATGGGCACACTTGCGATCAAAGTCTTGATTTGTTAGAAGTCTGGCTGATGGGAGTCATTTTATAACTGATAGCTGTGGCAGATGGTTTTGTCCTGTTCAGTTAATAAAATGTGATGTGACTTGATCAAATTCAGTTCAGACAACATTTGTCAGTTCTTTTAATATGCACAAGAAACTGTTTTAGGTACTTCTGAATTTGTGAAGGTGAGTTGCTTCCATTAAGAAATTTAACAGTAAAGAAGCGACGGGTGGAGAATGCAGAGATTGCCAGATTTCAGGCATGTGATGTTCAACGATCTGTAAGGTCTGTTCTAGTATCTGGCCCCCCCCCCCCCCATACACAAAACAGAACAGCATCTAATGCAGCGCTCCCCGACCTTTTTGGCACCAGGAACCAGTTTCATGGAAGACAGATTTTCCACAGACCCAGGGGGTGGGGGGCGGTTTCAGGATGACTCTCATAGGGAGCCCACAACCTAGATCCCTTGTGAGCATGGTTCACAATAGGGTTCATGCTCCTGTGAGGATCTGATGCTGCCCCTGATCTGACAGGAGGTGGAGCTCAAGTGGTAATGCCAGTGCTGGGGAGTGGCCTCAAGTACAGATGAAGCTTCCTTTGCTCACCTCCTGCTGTGTGGCCTGGTTCCCAGCAGGCCCCAGTATGGGGGTGAGGAACCCCTGAGCTAATGAACCCTCACGTAACCATCCCCCAAGTCCAGCCAACAGTTATCAGCATTTTACCAATTTTATTTTGGCTGTTTCTTACCCCAATACCCCTTTTCTCCTCCAGTACTTTAAAGAGCGCCGAGACTCTCCAGGGCAGGAATAGTGTATTGTTCAACTTACCAGTGATAACCTGAAGCACAGTGCATGGCAGATCATAACCTTTCAGCAGACTACTGTTAGATTGGACTGTTACTCAATTACAGCAGTGTAGAATTGCATGCATTTCCTCAGAATTATATAACAAAGATCATTTTTCCTTACGAGATTTGTTTAAAGAGTATCTTTCTGGTAGCTTAAGGTGTGCAGCTTCAATTTCTAAGTTGGTTTTATAAAAAATTTTATTACCATTTTCTACTTAATCTTAGTCTGAAGGAATGTATGTCTTAATCTAAGTCACTGTCTATGACTGATGACTGTTAAGTTTTATATGTCTCAAGGTGATATACATATAATCCACATAATGGACTAGGGAGAGAGGTAAGATTTGAAAATCTAAGATTTTCAATTTTTTAAATAATTGGTCAATGTCTGTTACTACTTTTCTTTACTCATTCTAGTCTTGTGGGATTTTGTGCTGAAAAAAAAAAATTTGATCCAGATAAGGACTTGTCAGACATATGTGTGTGTGTGTTTACAAAGTAATTGCAAAAAGTACAAAGAACTCTCTTCTATGCATTAACCAGATTCACTAGGTGTAAAATAAAAAGTTAGGGTGCACATGGTCTCTGTAATTATATTCATATTAATTTCATGTGGGAGAGGCCTATGTGTGCAGGTCTGGTGGAGGAGGAATTTAGACAGAAAAACTCGCCAGAGGCCTGGACATAGCACAGTGCTTGGCATGTTCAAACAGTGACGTGGTGAGGGAGAGGGGTAGGAGATGAGGTCAGCAGTGTTAACACCCTGTCACTTACAGTCATCTAGACCAAGGTCAAACATTCGATTTTTACCTGGAGGGCTCTGGGAAGCCACTGGAGGACTTTGAGCGAGGAAGGATGCAATCTGACTCAGTACTGCTTAAGGTGTGGTTCTTCGGTCAGCAACCACAGTGGTAGCACCACCTGGGAGCTTGTTAAAGGTGCCAGGGCTGTACCTGGACCTGCTTGTCAGAATCTCCGAGGGAAGGGCCCAGGCATCTGTTTCACAAGCTCTTCAGGTGATTCTGATGAATATAATGATTTAAGAAGCTCTGGCCCAGCTTACATTTTCAAAAGACGTCTGTGGTTGCCTTGTGGAGCAGACCGTCAGAAAGGCACAAGGGAGGTAGGGAGAGCAGTTGGGATCCAGGTGAGAGGTCGCGGTGGCTGGGTCAGGGTGGTTGTGATGGAGGTGCTGAGTAGGAATCAGATGTGAAATATATTTTATAAGTAGAACCGAAAAGTTTGCTCGTAGATTGAATGTAGAGTATAAGAGGAGGTGATGAGTCATTCATAATTCCAAGGTTTTGGCCTTAGAAGGATGGAGTTGGAGTGGCCATTGACTGATTGGGATTATATAGCAGGGGGAACAGTGGAGTGCTTTCTCTTGTTTGTGGGTGATGAGGGGTGGGTTTGGGGGATGGATTTGGAGTTTGGGGGTGTGGATGAGTTAAGGCAGGGAAGCCTGGTGTGCTGCAGTTCATGGAGTTGCAGAGTTGGACACAGCTTAGTGACTGAAGAACAATAGTGAGTTAAGAGTGAAATGAGTTTGAGTCTTGGGAAGAGGGGGTTGGACATTTTGACAGCTGAGCTTCGGGGCTTTGTTTTCACTCCTGCCAGTGGAGGTGTATTTGTACAAGCCTAAGGTTAGGAAAGATATAGTTAGTCGTATCTTTTTTTTTCCCCAATCCAAAATTACATGTATTTTGTCTAATCTGCTTTAACAGGTATTGGAGTAAAGAAAACTATAGCTTTCTGTGAAAATGTCAGTTCTAATATCACAGAGTGTAATAAATTATGTAGAAGAAGAAAACATTCCTGCTTTGAAAGCTCTTCTTGAGAAATGCAAAGATGTTGATGAGAGAAATGAGGTAAGACCAAGTTTCTAAAGTTTAATTCTTTTTACAAATGTTTGTGGACTACGTACTAAGTAAGTGTAAGGCACTGTGCTAAAAGTGTAAAGGTAAGTAAGAAATACACAGTTCTCACCCTCAGTAATACTGACATAACTTCTCACAGTTAAAAGTACTTTGAATTCTGTACCTTTTAAATATACCTGAACTTCTATAAATGACTGAGCATTGAATTAATGATTTAGATTTATGATTGAGAATTGTGGTTGACTTTTTTTCCCAGATAGAATAATCACTATTCAAGAATGATTCAAGAATTATTACCGAAATCAGAAGTATTTCTAGAAAACTTTAGATGGGCTTCTAATCCCAATCTTTTTATAAAAGATGAATGAGAAAAAATAGATTAACCAGACACTATTAGGGCTTTTTGAAATATTTTCTTTATTGGAGCCTCAGCTGTCTTCCTTAGTTGTTTGTTATACACACCTTGGGATTTTAAAGGCCTGCATCTTTAAGAGACAGCTAAATAGGTTGTGTGTTCTATTTACTAAGATTGGGAAGTAAATATTTATTGTTTTCATTAACTTGTATTAGATATTTCTGTTCAACAATCCTAGCAGATAAGTGGTAATTTTATTGTGAACAGCTGAGCTGCAACATTTTAGGGATTAATAAACTAGGGAGGCCTGACGTGCTGTGATTCATGGGGTTGCAAAGAATTGGACACAACTGAGTGACTTTCACTTATTTCATTTAGTATAACATCCTAAATGACATGTTGGTTCATCCATGTTGGAGCATGTGACATGATTTCCTTCCATATTAAAGCTGAATACTATTCCATTATATGTAGAAGGGCTTCCCTGATAGCTCATTTTGTAAAGAATCTGCCTGCATTGTGGAAGACCTGGGTTCGATCCCTTGGTTGGGAAGATCCTCGGGAGAAGGGAAGGGCTACCCATTCCAATAGTCTGACCTGGAGAATTCCATGAACTGTATAGTCTGTGGGGTTGCAAAGAGTTGGACGTGACTGAGCGACTTTCACTTTCATATGTAGATACCATGTTGTGTTTATACATTTATCCACTGATAGACATTCAGGTTGTTTCCTTTTCTTGGCTGTTGTGGATAGTGCTGCATGAACATGGGTATGCAAATATTATAAATGTTTTCAAAGCTACTGAATCAACAGTTATTACATTATTATTGACAGAGTACCTAATTTTTTAAAATATTAGCAGTCATTGAAAAATGGTATGAAAATTTTATTAGAGCAATTCAATTATGATAACTCATGTTTTATTCAGTATTTATGTAAATATGGTAATGGAACTATACACTTAGCTCGTTTAATTTGCATAGCAGTTCTGTAAAGAATTATACTAACTTATCTCAACTTACAAATAAACGACTTAATCTCTCAGATTCCGCCTGAAGATACTTCCTGGTGAAATCCACATTGGATGCTATTCTGTCTTAACATCAAACAGGCTATGATTTGTTTATGCCCTTTTGTCTTCCTTGAGTCTTCAGAATAAGTTCATCTAATGATGATGTCTGTATTTTCAATATTTATATATTGCACAAACTGTATTTTGGTTAGTTTACATCATTATTTTTTTCTATGATTATGAATAGTTAACAGTTGTTACACATAAATGAGATAAAATTTACAATTGGAGATTGTTCGTTGTTTTAAAAGAGCTGCTTATTGAAGTAGTCATTCTATTGGCATTAGTATGTTTGGAATAATAAAATGATAGTTTAAAAAGTTAAGCTTTACTTCTTAGATACTTCTTTGGGAATATTGAGAAAATAGCTTCACTTGGAAGGAGAAAAATAATACACAATAAGCACAAAATTATATTGATCTTATTCACACAAAGAATAAAGTGTATTTGGTAAAAAACTTAAAATGTTATCAGGCATGCAGTGGCATTTAAGGAGTTTTAATGATAATTTACCTCTAGTTTAGTATTATGTCAGTTAAAATTGGAGTTTTAAAATAATACTTTGAAACAGCCTGGCATTGTTAAATTATGGCTCACTGTGAAGGTTATAGAGAAAGTAACTTTTTCAAGGCCTTTTTTTTTGTTTTTTAGCATATTGCTTCTACTGCTTCTGATAAAATTTAATTTTTATTGAATTCTAAAGAGTTGCTTAAACTTTCTTTCCTTATTTCTCACCTTTAAAAAATGAAGTACGTAATTACCTCATTTAATGTGTTTGGTTATCAGTTTTCTAAAGGTTTCTTGAATGTTATCAATAAAAGAAAATAATGTGGGGGAAATTGCCTCTTGCTGTCCTTAGCATATAATTGGTTGCAGTTAGTAAATACCAGTTTTCTCCCTTCTTTCCTTTCTGCTTTATTTGTAAACTAGATAAAATTCGTGGCCTCTGAATATTGTCAGTGATGGCAGGTCTTTGCCCTTTGTATGAATATTCTCTATGATGGCAGGTCTTTGCCTTTCGTAGAGTAGTGAAGGGCTTTAATTTAACATTATTTTTGAAAAGAGCAAAAAGTCACTATCAGCTCTTCTTGATACAGGGGTATAGTGTTGAGGTTTAACATTATTCTCCTGTTGAAGAAAGTGAAATGGGACTCAAGTTCAAGAGATGAATTTTGTCATGTGCTTACAAGTAGAGACCCTGAAGTAAAGTTCAAAGGAGAATTTAAAAATGTTTTACTTTCACTATAATTACTGGAAGAAGTAGCTATCCTCAGAATGCCACTGCTTTAAAAGGCAATAGTTACTTAAGTCCAGTAAGGTGGCTCAGACAGTAAAGAATCTCCCTGCAATGTGGGAGACCTGGGTTTGATCCCTGGATTGGGAAGATGCCCTAGAGGAGGGCATGGCAACCCACTCCAGCATTCTTGCCTGAAGAATCCCCATGGACAGAGGAGCCTGGCGGGCTATATACAGTCATGGGGTCGCAGAGAGCTGGACATGACTGAGTGACTGAGCACAGCACAGCACACCTGAATACAAGTGGGATGACCCAGGAACTGGGAAGACCAAAAAGATGCTGAATAGCAGGTGTTTTTGCATTGTAGCTTCTGGGAAGCTGAGATAAAGCATGGTACCTGCTGTGGGGAACTTCAGTTGGCATGGCAGTGTTCTGTTTTGGTGTGTTTTGGTTTGAGGTTCTTACCAGTAGAGTAGGGGTTCTATGAGTTATGTGATCCTGTATTTTTTGGGAAAGAAATGGACTAGACATTTGCTGAGATGTGTGTGGTGGGTTAGGTGGGGAAGGGGCCTTTAGTGATTCACATTGAAGTAAAAGAATCAAGTTGTCATGACTGTTTGTTTCTGAGTCACTGTCTCTACAACTGTAGTTACTAGATGGCTTAAACCAGAACTAATAGAATAAATATGTTTTGTCATAAGGCATAACTTACAAGGTAAATATCATTCTGTATTTTCAGATTAATAAAACTTATGGCAGCCTTTCCTGAGAATCACTTATTTATTTGGATAATGAAGCTATAAAAGGTTAAGGATTGCTTTTGAGTGCATATAACAACTCCCCAAATAGTGGCTTAATCAAACTAAGGTCTTACTTTTCTCATGTAATGACAAGCTGGAGGAGTCATTCCGAAGTTGGTATAATGGTCTCAGGATATCTTCCCAGGCTCCTTCTGCCCTTCTGGCCACTCCTGTGCGTGCCAGTTTTTCCCATCATCAGTCTTGATACAGCTGCAGCATTGTGTCCACATATCAGGCAAGAAGGAAAAGGGCACAGGCCAGCTGAGTTGGTCTAATTATCAAGCTTTCCCAGGAGATCTCACTAGAGTGGTAGCATGGATGGTTTCCAACTGCAAGTAAGGCCGAACAATGTAGGTTTTTTTCGCTGAGCAGACTGCCACCCTGAACAAAATCCTGTTGCTCTGGATACTGGGTAGACAAATGGTAGTTTCTGCAAGAGAAATTTATGACTGTTCAAGTCTCATTTAGCTTGTTTCTAGTTAATCACATTTATACTCACTTTCTTTTGTATTATGTTTTTTTAATACACATCTAATTAATTTTTTCCCTCATACTCTAAAAGCACCTTTCTTTGCAAACTATCTGAAATGTGCCTGTGACCACAGAAGGTGAACAGAAAGCCCCGAGTCTTTGGAATTGCAGTTTTGAAAACTGATGTGCAAGTCCTATATCCTTCAGTTCAGTCGCTCAGTCGTGTCTGACTCTTTGCGACCCCATGAACTGCAGCACACCAGGCCTCCCTGACTATCACCGACTCCTGGAGTTTACCCAGACTCATGTCCATTGAGTTGGTGATGCCAACCAACCATCATCCTCTGTCATCCCCTTCTCCTCCTGCCCTCAGTCTTTCCCAGCATCAGGGTCTTTTCAAAAGAGTCACCTTTTTGCATCAGGTGGCCAAAGTACTGGAGTTTCACCTTCAGCATCAGTCCTTCCAGTGAACACCCAGGACTGATCTCCTTTAGGATGGACTGGTTGGATCTCCTTGCAGTATCTTGATTCCAGCTTGTGCTTCCTCCAGCCCAGCGTTTCTCATGATGTACTCTGCATATAAGTTAAATAAGCAGGGTGATAATGTACAGCCTTGATGTACTCCTTTTCCTATTTGGAACCAGTCTGTTGTTCCATGTCCAGTTCGAACTGGTGCTTCCTGACCTGCATACAGGTTTCTCAAGAGGCAGGTCAGGTGGTCTTGTATTCCCATCTCTTTCAGAATTTTCCACAGTTTATTGTGATCCACACAGTCGAAGGCTTTGGCATAGTCAATAAAGCAGAGATAGATGTTTTTCTGGAACTCTCTTGCCTTTTCGATGATCCAGCGAATGTTGGCAATTTGATCTCTGTTTCCTCTGCCTTTTCTAAAACCAGCTTGAGTATTTGGAAGTTCATGGTTCACATATTGCTGAAGCCTGGCTTGGAGAATTTTAAGCATTACTTTACTAGTGTGTGAGATGAGTGCAATTGTGCAGTAGTTTCAGCATTCTTTGGCATTGCCTTTCTTTGGGATTGGAATGAAAACTGACCTTTTGTAGTCCTGTGGCCACTGCTGAGATATCCAAATTTGTTGGCATATTTAATGCAGTACTTTCACAGCATCATCTTTTAGGATTTGAAATAGCTCAACTGGAATTCCATCACCTCCACTAGCTTTGTTCATAGTGATACTTCTTTAAGGCCCACTTGACTTCGCATTCCAGGATGTCTGGCTCTAGGTGAGTGATCACACCATCGTGATTATCTGGGTCGTGAAGATCTTTTTTGTGTAGTTCTTCTGTGTATTCTTGCCACCTCTTCTTAATATGTTCTGCTTCTGTTAGATCCATACCATTTCTGTCCTTTATTGAGCCCATCTTTGTATGAAATGTTCCCTTGGTATCTCTAATTTTCTTGAAGAGCTCTCTAGTCTTTCCCATTCTGTTATTTTCCTCTATTTCTTTGCATTGATCGCTGAGGAAAGCTTTCTTATCTCTCTTAGCTATTCTTTGAAACTCTCCATTCAAATGGGAATATCTTTCCTTTTCTCCTTTGCTTTTTGCTTCTCTTCTTTTCACAGCTATTTGTAAGGCCTCCTCAGACAGCCATTTTGCCTTTTTGCATTTCTTTTTCTTGGGGATGGTCTTGATCCCTGTCTCCTATACAATGTCACGAACCTCCTTCTGTAGTTCATCAGGCACTCTGTCTATCAGATCTAGTCCCTTAAATCTATTTCTCACTTCCAGTGTATAATCATAAGGAATTTGATTTAGGTCATACCTGAATGGTCTAGTGGTTTTCCCTACTTTCTTCAATTTAAGTCTGAATTTGGCAATAAGGAGTTCATGATCTGAGCCACAGTCAGCTCCCAGTCTTGTTTTTGCTGACTGTACAAAGCTTCTCCATCTTTGGCTGCAAATATAATCAGTCTGATTTCGGTGTTGACCATCTGGTGATGTCCACGTGTAGAGTCTTCTCTTGTGTTGTCGGAAGATGGTTTTTGCTATGACCAGTGCGTTGTCTTGGCAAAACTCTATTAGCCTTTACCCTGCTTCATTCTGTACTTCAAGGCCAAATTTGCCTGTTACTCCAGGTGTTTCTTGACTTCCTACTTTTGTATTCCAGTCCCCTCTATTGAAAAGGATATCTTTTTTGGGTGTTAGTTCTAAAAGGTCTTATAGGTCTTCATAGAACCGTTCAACTTCAGCTTCTTTAGTGTTACAGGTCGGGGCATAGACTTGGATTATCGTGACATTGAATGGTTTGCCTTGGAAACGAACAGAGGTCATTCTATATCCTTAGGGACATAGATTCACCTAGTTGGCTTTAATATATATATTATACCAGTGACTTTGATATTTCATTTTTTTAATCCCAGTTGATTAGAAGGCAGAAACATGCTGTAGAAAGGAAGTCAGAGACATTAGCGCTGACAGAGGCAAGCCTTGTATAATGATTGATGTCTGTAGTTATGACTCAGAATCATAAACATAATGGTTAAGTTAATCTGTTTAACAAGTAGCAATGTGCACATTACGTTAAGAAAAAACAGTTATCATAAAGTTGTAATCAAATATAATATTTAAAGGATAAACTTTTCACCTGGAAAATCTACTTATGCATAATGTCTCATTCTCTAATGACTCTAGTTGAATGACGTGTGACTACCACATGTAATTTAGCGTCCATCATTATATGAGTGTCTGTATGTAACTCGATTTACTTGCGTGCCTTAACTCAGTCTTTGTGTTTCTCTTTACTTATATCTTACAGTAACATGTGTTGTTACTAGGATTATTTGCTTGTTCATATGTTGCCATTAGTAGATTTGTAAATTCTTCTGGACTTTGTTCACTCTTTTACTCAATAAATATGTGAACACCTGTGTGGCAGTCACTGCGCCTTATGGGGGAGTTTCAGTATTCAACAAAACAGACATGCTTCCCACCCTTGGGGAATTTAGGGCCTTTAGAGGAAATACAATAACAGTTGTTCACCATGCAAATAAAGTGTAAGTACAAATAAGGATTAGCATGGTACATGACATTAGAGCGGGTTAGCAAGGCTTCCCTGTGGAGTTGGTGTTTGACCCAAGAGATGCCAGGTGGGAAATAGTTAATTGGGTGGGATAGAGGGATATAGAGGTGGGAAAGAGCTTGCGTACAGTTTGAGGGCACAAGTGTGAGGAGGAAATGGCCTGGCACAGGTTTCAAGGTAGATTTTCATGGACCAGAGGCCATGTAAGGACTTTGGTTCTTATCCAGAAGAGCCTAGGAAACCATTAAGGATTTTAAGCAGTGGGATATTGTCAGATTAGCATTTAAAAAAATAACTGATGTTTTCCTGCACATTGATATACATTCAGTAAATAGGTGCTTAATCTATCAAATGGAACTCAGGTTTTGATGCAATTTTTTTCTTTATACCTTCGTATGTTTTGGCACCTTTAGTACTGTCACTGTTAGCCCAGAGCTTCTGGTCTGTTTCATGTCATGGCATGTACAGAAAATGATAGTGTGCATCCCGGACTTGGGATAGACGAAGCTCACAGCTGGAGGGAACCTGTCCCAGGATCCAGCTGCCCAGGCCCTGCCCCATGGTCTCAGGGCTGCTGGAGCCCGTGTCTTACTGCCGTGACTCATTCTGGGGACAGGCTGGACAGCACTGCTGTAGCTAGTAGGAACTTTAGTGTAATGAGTTAAGGTTATAAGGGAAGGCTTCAAAAAACTCCATGATATTGCAGCACCTGTATTGTTTTTACTGTTTTAGTTTTCTTCCTCTGGTCCTGATAAAAACATCTTATACATACAGCAAAACCACATTGTGTATCATATTCTAGCTGTATTGTTAGAGGATTTGGTTGCCATAGATATTCTGAGATTACTGTATAAATAGTGGAAATTGCTTTTCAGTGCCTAGTATTATACATGTTGCTTATTTTGAATAAAATTGCAGTGCTCAAAACAGATTATGAATGCTATTGTAAAAAAAAAAAAAGCATTTTCTCTTGGACTTTCATATTATTAGTAAACTGAAAACTTGAATTCAGAGGTGTTTCTAAATTAAGTGCTGTAAATAGAGCTGAACGTCATGGAAATGTATGGGTGGTATATTTAACTGGTGTGTTAACTAACATGCAGCATCCTGGATGTTTTCTGTGTCTCTTCTGTCTCTAGTGTGGCCAGACTCCATTGATGATAGCTGCTGAACAAGGCAATCTGGAAATAGTGAAAGAATTAATTAAGAATGGCGCTAATTGCAATCTGGAAGATTTGGTATATATTGATTTACTCATTTGCCTTTTTCTTTTCTTTAACTTTGTTGCTTGGTTTTAAGAAGTGATTCAGAAGCAATAGATTACAGATTGTAATTCTGCTGTGTATCAACATTGCTCAGTAATATGCTAATTCGATTTTTTAAAAAGGGCATTTATTATAGGAGGGAAATTTTTACCTTCATTGAGAAGTCTCAGCTCTTTGTGTATTTTTTAATGTATAGATAGCACTCACTGAATAAGGAGCACATGTAGCCACTCCAGTATTCTTGCCTGAAAAATCCCATGGACAGAGGAACCAGGTGGGCCACAGTCCATAGGGTTGCAACAAGTTGGACACGACTGAGTGACTAAGCATGCACACATATACACACACTCAAAATTAAATGCCTGCCTAGAAGATATCCATGTAAGAGTCATACTGCTAAGTAACTCCCCATAATGGTATCTTCTTATTAGAAACATCATTATCTAGGATAAGTCAGAAAGATATGGTCCCTTCTGATACCATTTGTGAAGGATAAATCACTATTTGAGAGGCTTACTTTTCTGTTTCTGAGGATTTATTTTTCAGGGTCACATAGCCACATCTGTTTTTCTGTTTGTCTTTATAATTCAAATTGATAATACTAAATTGGTGATTGTAATTGAATGATCATTTGAGTTAAATGACAGTACACATGAATAAAAGAATAGGATACTTGCAGCCTTTAAAAAATAAAGGAGAACAGTCCTTCATCCCATAGCTTGAGCATATCACATGGGATGGCTTTAGTTTAATGGTTTGTAAGCATGCTTTTTTATTTGATTACAAGCTTTTGAATTTCAATTTATAATAATGGTTGTAGCCACACAGATTAGCTTTGAGGTTTTGATACTCATTTTTTCTCCTTTTTAAAAAACACAGTGATTAAAAGTCCAATGAAAAGACTGCACAAGAGTTGTGAAGCCATTTCTGCATCATGATAGTCATATAGGTAGCGAGATAAATTCTTAACAGAGCTTATGCTTCAGTGTTATTTCAGAGTAGCTTAGAGTGTGTCAGATCATGTCAATTTGGTATGATCTTCTGGTATGTAAATTCAAATTTACCTGACTTTGGAATGTTATGTTTTGTTTTGAAATGATAACATTTGTGTCTGTATATTCAAGGATAACTGGACAGCGCTTATATCAGCCTCAAAAGAAGGGCACCTGCACATTGTAGAAGAACTGCTCAAGTGTGGGGCTAACTTGGAGCACCGGGATATGGTATGGATACTCTTTACAGTTGTTAATCAGCTGGAGTCTTATTAACAGTAATAGATATTTGTGAAGTCTTGTATTTTTGTGTGTCAGATGACGTTTTTAGGGTTAGGCATTGAAATGACCATCAAGAATGCTTTAAAACCCTGGTGAGATAATGTACCTCCTTAGAATACTCTTAATCACATTTTCTGTTTTTTTTCAGACTTTAAAATTCTGAAATACTGTTAAGACAACACATTACTCTTTATAATGTATCAATGAGAGAATTGTTTTCTTTAAGGAGAACTTTAAGAGGGACATAGTATAGTTTTGAAAATATTTTCAGTGCTTAAAGTTATGATATTCAGAATAATATTTATAAGTTTATTTTAAAAATGTAACTGTTCAGATATTCCCTCTGTACACATTACAAGTTTCTCAAGATCTGATTCTTAATCATCTTAGCTCTTACTTGATCTTGGCATGTGCCTAAAGCATAAAGGTGAAGAAAAGGATCATGAAGGCTTCTTATTCTACAAAATGTTGAAATTGAACTGCCTTGAGAAAACATGTATTACTTTGCTGATGATGCTTTAAGTACAGGTGGTCTGAATTTTTAAGAAACTTCAGCATTCCACCTCCTTTCACTTAATATTATACTGTACAATATAATTTATACAGTGTTCTTGCTTCTACAGTATTATACTTACTCTCAAAACTCAGTGAAATAATGGTATACTTATTTTTATAGAAAGATACAGAACTATTTGTATCCTTCCTTTTGCTGAAAAGAAATGAAAGTACATCGCTATAAAAGTTTAGGGAGAGAAGGTGATGATGTCAGTAACCTAGGCAAAGGATGGATACCTGACAGGCAGGAGGAAAATGTAGTGTTCTTATCTTATTGGCATGTAAAGTAGAAGAGAAATTCATGGAATTACCTAGTTCCCAATATTTTATTAAAAGCACCATACCAGTTTATCAGGTGAATTAATAATAGGTGATTTTTCTATTTTCATAATTCCACTACATTTAGTAATTGAAATTAAAGAAGAGTTCTCTCTGTCTCTCTAAATAAATATGTGTAGATATATATTTTAGCATTTCCTTTCCCTGATAGCTCAGTTGGTACAGAATCTGCCTGCAATGCAGGAGACCCTGGTTCGATTCCTGGGTTGGGAAGATCTGCTGGAGAAGGGATAGGTTACCCACTCCAGTATTCTTGGACTGACCTTGTGGCTCAGTGATAAAGAATCCACCTGCAACTTGGGAAACCTGGGTTCGATCCCTAGGTTGGGAAGATCCCCTGGAGAAGGGAAAGGCTACTCACTCCAATATTCTGGCCTGAAGAATTCCAAGGACTGTAGTGTCTGGTGTGGCAAAGAATCAGACGTGACTTTCACTTTCACTTTCTTGCATTACAAAATGCTTCAGGCTCAGGTTCATCTTATATTTTCCCTGCCTTATTTCCGTGATTCTCCCTCTTGGAATCAATCAGTTTCCAAAGGGGCCCTAGTTCTTGATATTCTAAAGTGATATTTAGAAACCAATAATCTAGATGTCAGGTGTACTTACTGCTACTGGAATGTCTCTGCTTCTTGTCCTCCTCAGTGTATAGATGTAGAAAATACATACGTGTATATTAACTTTTGCATACATGTCACATACGTCTATTCTGTAATATCTCTGTGTGTGTGTGTGTGTATATATATATTAATAAAGAGACTCAGTTGATGTGTGTGGGTGTATTTTTTTTTAATGAAAAGACTTAGTGGATAACTGTGAACCCAGTCTACAGTAAGCCTTTCCCATTTTCTTAATTTGTAACACTCTTCTGACTGTGAGAAATCTGCCTCTCACTATCAACACAGAATATTTACTTATTTGTTCAACTCTAGTAAACGAATAGTTTCAGAATTTCTAACCCGTACCCTGAGAGAAACAGATTTGCTACTAAATACAGTGTTTGTATACAGTTCTTTTTGTCTGTAGCATTACAGAATTCAAAATACTGCTTTTTGACATTACCTGGATCAGGTTCTAAGTAATTGTGTGATATACTTGTAATATAATTAATTCATCCTGATCTGTATTCTGTCTGTCTTTCCTACATTTTAGTTGCTTTTTTAAAGATTTACATACAGTAAAATTCACTCTCTGGCGTTCAGTTCTGTGGGTTTTGGCAGGTTGTGATGTCATTCATCCACCGTAGCTCTGTGCAGAGCGGTTCCATGGCCTCACCTGTACCCCCATGCTGCTCATTTGTAACCACCCCCTCCACCCACTCCCCAGTCGGTGGCTGCCACTGTCTGTTTTCCCTTTCTGTAGTTTTGCCTTTTTCAGATTAGAGCAGCTTATTTTATTTTACCTCTTTTGTGATGATGAAACAGAATCAAAAGGATTAAGTGGTTTATATTCTTGCATCCAAATTTGGATTGGTCCAAATACTTTTTTTTTAAGCAAACAAAACATTCACTTCTTAGTATAATTTGATTACATTTGTCTCTTTTATTGAATCGCATGATAGCTAAAGAGAACACTGCTAAAACAAAGAATGTTGCTTTGTGGCTTAGAAGGTAGAAAGTTACCATGCCATTAATTCATACTTAATGACTTTGCTTGCCCTGGAAATCATGATCTATAGATCATTGCCTATGTATCCTCTCTTTCTTAGCAAGAGGTACAATACCGATCTGGAATTTATAGGATGGGTTTAGATGCAGGAGTTGAATGGGATGGCTGGAATCCATCTCTGGAAAAAAAATCTAGACTCACACCAGGAGGAGAGCATCTAGGGACATAGCATGTTTGCTGAAGAAAAACACTTAAACAGCCAAAATAAATCTTGGAAATTTAGAAGAGTCCAATATGAATGTTCTCTATATCAATTTCCAAAAATATAATACAAACTTCGGCGTAATCATTACTGGACTTAAGAGATTGGACTTTGTCCAGATACGATTGTGTATTTCCCTGGGGAGCTTGGGTATTTAGAACTACATAGTAGTGATTTCTTAAAACAGTGGTTTTATAGAGAATGTTCACAAAAGAAGCTTCATTAATGACATTTTTGTGCTTGGAGACAGTCCAGTGTTTTATTTCCCTCCTCTCCCCCTTTTTTTCCCTGAAGGGAGGATGGACGGCTCTTATGTGGGCATGTTATAAAGGCCGTACTGAAGTGGTTGAGCTGCTGCTTTCTCATGGTGCCAATCCAAGTGTTACTGGTCTGGTAAGCGTTAACAAAAAATTCATGTGTAATACAAGTGGTAAGTTCTTTTAGGAAATACTTAGGATTGGTTGTACTTTGGACTTCATAATGGATAAAATGATCTCAATCTTACTAAAGATAATAATTCAGAATGTGATTTCAAAACACGGGAATTTTTTTCTCAAGCTTTTTTCCTCAATTTTTATCAACAAAAAAGCAACTTAAATGTTAATTACAGCTATATAACGTTTCAAAAGGAGATTTTGAAATCCTTTTGTCATCTTGCCTGTGTTCTATGGGTATACATTCTTAACTTAAGCTCTTTTAAAGAAGAGAGACATTTACCAAATACTCATGTCACTTTTCTGTATATTCTTATTGGTTGTAATACATGCATTACTGCTTTGCTTGAAGCTTGCTCTGACTGCAGATTAAGTAATCATTTTATTGATGGGGGACTCCTTTCACAGTGCATGTGTATGTCAGATCATCATGTACTCTTCAGATACCTTACAGTTTTGTCAATTATGCCTTAATACAGCTGGGAAAAAAAATCAGTTTTATTCAAGTTGATAGAAGGATTATAAAGGTTTCACATTCTTCTTAGTCTTACCTGTTGGCTAGATAATTACCTTAAGTGTGTTGAATCTATAAAAATAAATATGTTTGTAATATATATTTATTTAAGGTTGAGTACATCTCAGTTCCCAGTTACATATTAGGAGATTTATGTGTGTTTTTAATGGTCTGTGACTTGACTTTTTAAAAAATATTACCTTGTATTGCTCCTTGTGTTATTTACTCTTCTTAGCAAATGTGTGCTATAGATATCAATCTAAAAGACTTTTTCTTCCCCTCCCTCCCTGTCTGCCTCCCCGCCCGTCTGTCTGTCTCCCAGCAGTACAGTGTCTACCCAATCATTTGGGCAGCAGGCAGAGGCCATGCTGATATAGTGCAACTTTTACTGCAAAATGGTGCCAAGGTCAACTGCTCCGACAAGGTAGGTCAACAGGATCTTCCAGGTTCAGTTCATGTTGTATCCACTCAGTGTGTCTGACTTACAAGGATTTTTATATGATCTTATGAGGCTGCACTGATGTATCTTATGTTTGTATTTATTAATATATCTTATAAAGGCATACATCTCATAGATGGGTTCCCTATAGGTGTTGAAAGTGTCAGTCACTCAGTTGTGTCTGATTCTTTGTGACCCCATGAACTGTAGCCTGCCAGGCTCCTCTGTCCATGAGATTCTCCAGACAAGAATACTGGAGTGGGTTGTCATTCCCTTCTCCAGGGGATCTTCCTGACCCAAGGATGGAACCTGGGTCTCCTTCATTGCAGGCAGATTCTTTACCATCTGAGCCACCAGGGAAGCCCAAATTGGTACTCAGTATCTTTCCATTGTCTTTTATATCACATTCATCATTCTCAGGAAAGTAGAGTTGATTCCCCAGCTTCATTATTTGAAATTTTCTGTTGTTGCTCTTCTGTCTTGAGTCCTATCACCCTCTCTGTATTATTGCCAAATTATCTTTTAAAAAATAATTTTAATTAATTTATTTATGGCTGTGCCGGGTCTTACTGATGTTCATGAGCTTTCTCTAACTGTGGTGAGCGGGGGCTGCTCTGTGTTGTGACTCATGGACTTCTCATTGTGTTGGCTTCTCTTGTTGTGGAGCACGGACTTGGTAGCTGTAGCACGGGTGTAGGCACTCCACAGCATGTGTTATCTTCCTGGGCCAGGGATCGAACCCATGTTCCTGCACTGGCAGGTGGATTCTTCACCACTGAGTCATCAGGGAAACCCCAGATGGTCTTTAAAATTTAAGTTTTGTTCTTTCTGTCTCATACTTAAAATCCTAAGGATGTCAGTCCCTGTTATGATGCATAAAGATGGTCTTTGCCTCCCTTTCTCCTGCTGTCTCTACCCCAGACTACCTTTGCTCGGCTGTCAGATGATGCAGGTTCCTGAGTTCCTGGCAGGTGCTCTTTCACAATGTGGAGTGCCCTCTCCTCCTTCTCTTCTTGGACTTCTATTCATCCTTCACTCTCAGCTCATGTGCCATCAGTTCAGAAAGCTCCCCAGGATTTTGTTCTATGTACTTTTAAAAAAATCCTTAATACCCCAAATAGGGCTTCTCACATGGCAATAGTGGTAAAGAATCTGCGTGCCGGTACAGGGAACACAAGAGATGCGGATTCGATCCCCAGGTTGGGGAGATCTCCTGGAGGAGGAGTTCGCAACCTCATTTTGTTTTCTCTTTTGGAAGATTCTACGGACAGAAGAGCCTGGTGGGCTACAGTGCATGGAGTCGGCAAAAGAGTTGAACACGACTGAGCACAACCCACATATTTGAGAAATGTTTGATTATATCATTCTTTCTTGCTTTGGGAGAGCTCTTCTAGCATCGTTGGTTTCAAAGCCCAGATTTTTCAATTTGACCTCAGTGTTTCTTCCCAGGTTCACTTCTTGCCATTGCTCTCCAAATACACTGCGCTTTTGGATGCAGAAGATGGTCTACCACTCTGTGAACTTTTATGAATTTCTGTTAAGTGTGTCCCTTTGTTTATTCTTTTCCCTCTGTTAAGAGTGTTACTACCTCCTCTGCCTGATGAACTCCTATGTATTTTCTCAAGGCTCCGTTGAAATGTTATCTTCTCTGTTAAGTCTCCTTAACTTACCCAGTCAGTGTGGGTGCCTCTTCTTCTGTACCATCAGTATTCACTGCCCATACCTCCATTAGTGCACAGAAGTTCTCTTAGTCAAGGCTGTTATAAAAAGTAGGCGTTCATTAAGCATTCATGTCAATCTGCAGTCTCCTATGTAGTCAAATGTCACTGCAAGTGTTCTTGTGTCTTTTCATTGCCATGTGAATCTCCCCAAAGGTAAAGCTTTGCTTTTATGCATGATTTACATTCTCTGATGCCTTTTGAGTCATGTTGCAGCAGAAGGTGCTTTTGAGTGCCATTTCTCAGCTGATGTTTATTTTATCAGGCATAGAGGTGAATCTAGGGTGGTGGTGAAGAGCACAGGCTGAAGCCAGGCTTGTTGGGTTCATGGATTTTGCTCTACTTCTTAGTAGCTTTGTGACATTGAGCCTGTAATTAGCTTCTTGGGGTCTTGTTTGCTCGTTAAAATGTAATATTGTGATTTGTACTTAATCTTGTGATGAGGATTACACGAGTTAACCTATGTCAACTAGTTAGAACCGTATTTGGCACGTAGCTGTCACTATTATTGACTATAGTCAGATTGTTCCACTTCATATGTCACAAGATACAGGAAGCAAAGAAAGTGTGTTGGAAATTAAAGGCTGTATGACTTTATGATGAAAAATTGTCACTGATTATAAAAGTTAAAGTTGGTTAAAATACATTTTATCCAGTGGTTAACCATCTATTTGGGAGAAATGAGAAAAATATGATTCATCTAGGCTTAAAATTATGATTGGTGTAAACCGTAATCTAAAATACTCAATGTGATTTTTATCAAAATTCATGTTGAGAGCTTAGTTTCTTTTAATATATCTTCAATAATAATTTTAAATTTGTTATTTCTTTTAATAGTATGGAACCACCCCTTTGGTTTGGGCTGCACGAAAAGGTCATTTGGAATGTGTAAGACATTTATTGGCCATGGGAGCTGATGTTGATCAAGAAGGAGCTGTAAGTATCTTTTCTACTTAACTGCTGGTAGTAGAGAGATATTTTTAGTTTTGAGAGAGAGAATATTTTTTCCTTAGCATATGTCTAGAAAAATTTCCCTGCATTGTCTAAGTGATACTTAGAAAAACAAACATCTTCTATTATCCTGGTAAATTTAGATATTATATATTACAGACATGTGCTCTTAAGGAGTTTTTGTCAGTGCACATCAATTTTAGGAGGCTAAAGCTCTAAGGAATATCTTTTAGTAATCTTAGTATAAATTAAAGTACTTCCCACATCAAATGATTTGAATTACTAATGTGGAAAGAACTTCTGTTCTTTCAAAATACCTTTTCTTTAAAATTTTAAAATAATGCCATAATTTTTTAATATTTAAAGCTGTAACTTGTTTTACTTCTCTGATAGATTTTAAAATATCAGAAATCAGTGGTCAAAACCTAGATAGCTTAAAAATTGGTTCAGTATATCTTAGCGACTAGGAGTTATGGATTCATTATTGAGTCCCTGTTTGCAACTGACCTGTGCCAGAGTTGCTGAGGTTGGAGGAGACTATCACATCACTTTTCTCTTGAACTTCTAAGAATATAGTTAAAGGAGATGATGTTTATGCACAGGAAACAATACAGTCTTCTGTTACCATAATTATTAGATTATGTGAGGTGGATCATAAAGGACTCTGAGAAGAGTTGCTAGCAAACCTGTGGCTGCAGTGTAACAAGAGTGGGCTCTAAGTCATACTTGACTTCTTGGCATAATACCAACCAGCTCCTCCTATTTTCCATGGTGGCAGAGCTGCTCACTGCTGACCTTCAAGGGGTGTAGAATATGTTAGTGCTGTGTGGAGACAGAGCATGATTCTTACCCAACCCTGGAAGCCATGCTGTTCACCTGCCTCTTTTCTGGGCTTATCAAGTGGATGAATGGCCTGTCTCTAAAGAATCTGAAAAGGCTATGTTATGTAATATTGAGAGTTATGGCTTAGTTCCAGGGGTTGATATAACAGCTAAAATATTTCTATAAGGAAATTGCATGCTATCTGAAACTACATAAAAATCTCAAGAATAAACTTTAGTATTTGTTTTGCAGTGAGTCAGATTCTTGTATTAGGTGATTTATTGTTATTAAATGTGCAATTTTTAAAAGAACCACTAAAAATAAGACGGTTTTTAAAATGTGGTTTCCAGGTCACTGTAAGAAAGAAGAATATATTATACTGTTATTGAAATATTCTATACTTTTTAATTCATTGTTTCACTTACGTTTTCGTATAGATTTTATTGTAGACTGTTACTTGTTTGAAGTCTGTTAACCTTACTTTGAATTATTTCATTTAGAATGTGTTTAATTTTGAATCATCCTGTCAGCTATTTTACCATTCAATACTTTAGTGAGAGGATTTGTTCATTGTAAATGAGTCCAAATTTAGGTTATAATTTAAAGATTTTAGTGTCAGTTCTCCTGACTGAAGAGAACTAACACATCTTCAAGAATGGAAAATATGCTTCCTCACCACTTTTGGTATGTTTCTGGTTATTTATGTTGGCATTTTATTATCAGAAATAATTGTTAATTATAGATCACCTATTTGAAAACATCAATTTTTTTACTATGGCATAAATTAAGTTGTCTGAAATGACTACTTTATTGGACTTTTTTGTTTGTTTTTTAGAATTCAATGACTGCACTTATTGTGGCAGTAAAAGGAGGCTACACACAGTCAGTGAAAGAAATTTTGAAGCGAAATCCAAATGTAAATTTAACAGATAAGGATGGAAATACAGCTTTGATGATCGCATCGAAGGAGGGACATACAGAAATTGTACAGGATCTCCTTGACGCTGGGACATATGTGAACATACCTGATAGGGTAGGTTGTCTATTTAGAACTTGTCTTCCAGTGGTGATGTTGATGGAAGGTACCTTATCTTCTCAACACCTTTCAACATTCTTCCTGCATAACATATTTAAGATGTTTTATTTCTACCTTTAAAACTAGTAAGTTAAAACCTATTTAATCTTTGTGAAGGGTGTTTTTTTCAGTTTTTAGAAAATAATATTGTTATTGAAAATGTGATCTTAAAATCATCCTTACTGTAGGTCTTGTTCATGGCTGCTGTTGTTCATTGTTCTAAGACTTTAGGTACCACTCTTACACTTAATAGAATTTTCAAGTTTGTATCTCTTGCTCTGACCTCTCCTCAGAAGTATACACTTGCATGTCCATTTCCACTTAAACTCTCCACCTGAGTGTCTAATGGGCCTCTTTATTTTCGGCAAAACAGATGTTTTGTTTGTTTGATCCCAGACCTGCTTTCCCTTCAGACTTCTCCATCTCAGTAAGTGGTCCCACCATCTACCCTGTGTTAAAGACCCATACTGTACACAATAGTCTTGATTTCTCAGTGACCAGAGTCACTCCCCAGTCATTTTCTATCACATCACTTTCTTTTATTTGCATTACATTTATCTTATTTTTTATTTTTGTTTACTGTCTGTTGTCAGTCTCCTCTAGACTATACATTCTCCCAGAGCTGGAACCTTGTCTAACTTATTTCCTCTAGCCTAGAATAGTGCATGGCACATAGTAAGCGATGGAATATTTAGAACCTTGTGTTAATTTCCTAGTTTGAACCCACATTAATGTTAATATTCCCAAAATGTTTCTGCCATGGGTTTATACTTTTAATGTAGCAGTTAAGATACTACATTGTGGCATTAGACTCAGTTCTCAAGGGCCTGCATCTTGAATTGTAGCCCACCGGGGCCCATTTAAGATTGAGATGAGCCATAGCTCATGGAATGATCCAACTCAAACCCGTGTAACTGATTTGTAATGTAGCAGTTTAAAAAAAAAAAAAGGCCATTTGCAGTATTTGAAGTAGGGAAAGATTATTGCTTGGTGAATGTAATTTCAGGGCAGAGCTACCCTTATGAGGTAATGAACTTCATCTAACCCTTGTGCTGAGGAGAGTCAGTCCTGGGCAGTCTTGGCCTGTACTGACGAGTGGAATGTAGCTGCTGTTCTGAGAACCAGCCTTCCCCTTAGTTAAACGTGGTGATAAACCCACAGATGGCTCTAGCTTGACAGCGCCCTTTAGAGTCGGTGGCGTTTGTCAGATAACGTGATTCCAAGGGATTTGTGTTAGGTAATTTCCAAAGGTTCATCTGGTTCATTGACAGTCATGGCGTCATTTTATTTAATTTACATTTGTAATGAGAGGGTGCCTTCAAAATAGAATGGCTTATTGTTCTGTGTGACTTACCTTTCTAAAGTTTTGTCCTGGAATTTCAGGTATAAATGTCCTCATTTTGTATAGTCTTCTGTCCCTTATTCTACAGGCTATTAATATCAGGTATTAATACTAGTTACCTAAAAACTTTGTTGTTTACAGAAAGTGTCTGAGATACTTTTTTTCCCAAGACATTTCCAAAAAAAATTTATTGTATTAATATATGGTTAATCTTAACTTCAAAACAGTATTTTTTTGTTTTCCTCATCAATTATCTGGTTTTTTTTTGTCTTTTTAGAGTGGAGATACTGTCTTAATTGGTGCTGTCAGAGGTGGTCATGTGGAAATTGTTCGAGCACTTCTCCAAAAATATGCTGATATCGACATTAGAGGACAGGTGTGTGTGATTACAGACTATTATCTCTGACTGTAATTGGTAATATATGTTGGTTGATCATAATGTCATTCTTTGGGTTTTCCTATGAAGTTAAACTTATAAACACTAATATATTTAATGGATGCCTGTATTATTAAGTTTCACTGCCATTATTATGAAATTTCTGTATTAATGTCAAGTTAGATTTAGATAGAAATGAACCGTAAAGAAGCTCATGTTTTTCAAGTACACCTCCCTTATTAATGTCTAAATATATTCAATCCTGAAATTAGTAGTTTATGATAGTGAGACATGGCAGCACTTTGAGTGTGTGTCACTTGTTTTCTTTCGTGTTCTCGTTCTGTTTGTCTTCTTCAGCCGTGTATTGTTCTTCTATTCCTGTTTTTTTTTTTTTTTTAATCTTTCATCTCCTTTCCCCCATTTGCTTGCCTTTCTTAGGACCATTTGGTAGTGTCTGTGGACTTCATTTAAGGCAGTCACAGCTCACAGAGCTATAAAGGTTATTCATTTTAGGTAAAAGCACTCCTAAAGTTGTAAATTCATTCAGTATGTCAAAAACTTTTGATTAAAAAAGAAAAAGCTATACTTTACAACCCATTTTGCTGTTGCACAGTCTGTATTTCTGCTCAGTTTTTTCCTTGTATACAAATCCATTTTTGAATCAAACTAATAAACATTATGCCAAATGCCATGAGAGTCTTTTAACATGGATCCCTTGCCTGTAAGAAACATGTATTTTAGTTCGGAAGGTTTTAGTTCATTTAGTTTATACTTAAACTTACGTTTTTATCTAAACATAAAAAGTGATGCCACTTTTGATATCAGATAGTGTATGGTTGATTGCCTAGTGAAGATTCAAATGTGAGAGTCTTGAGGTGGTGAAAGAAGGCATTAAGAAGAACTTTTGAGGGAAGGTAGAATTTGAACTAAGTTTGAAAAATGGGTTGAGTTTGGATAAAGAAAGGCTGAGTAATTCAGGCAAGGGTAGTAGAATAGAGAAAGTTTAGGGAAGTGGGAAAGTGAAAGACTGTAGTCCTTAGCTAATGAATAAATCAGGTTGTCAAGGAGGGTGGGATGGGAGATAGTAAAGTACAAAGGGATGTAGGACCAGATAGGCTATAGTGTCAAACTCAGAAGGTTCAGAAGCTAGTGTGCAGTTTTGAGAAGGGAACTGTGTTGAGAAAACTTTGGTGTAGCAAACAGTGTGATAGTGGCTGAAAGTCATTCATTGAGGAAAAAATCATATTTTCACTAAAAGTAGATGCCTTGATCACCTATTTAGGCTTTTATCTAACTCCTTTGTGTCTGTCAATTCTGTTTTCCAACATTTTAATTAGTTCTTGTTTTTCTTCTTTAGCTCTACTTTCAAAATCATTTGAATCTATTTTTGGTGTATGAACTAGATAGGGTTTTAAAGGATCTGATGAAAATCAGTTTATGGGTGTGGGTGGAGGTTAAGATAGCTGTGATTGATAGAAACAATTCAGCTTATGTTTGTGTAGTACATTCTTGTGCATTATCTTTTGAAAAGATTGGGCAGATGAAAAGCCACAAGCTAAGGTCAGAATATTTACATGACTTCTCAAAGGACACAGTTCAAGTCCTGAAGACCTCCAACACAGTGTGGGGTCCTGAAACCTAATTGTATTCCAGAAGTATAGTTTACCCTGTCAGCTGTGTGGGGATGCTGCTTCCTAGTCAAGAAATGTTAAGTTTTCCTCAACTTCTTTTGTAAAGAATTTCCCACAAGTAAATGCAGGGTACAGTAAGGATTATTATTTTCTATCATGCTGCTTCTTGGTAAGATAATGCTTTCTGACAGAAATGTTAATACTGATGAATTTTTAATATTCTTATATGAAGTGACTGTTGATTTTTCTAATTAATACAGGACAATAAAACTGCTTTGTATTGGGCTGTTGAGAAAGGAAATGCAACAATGGTGAGAGACATCTTACAGTGCAATCCTGACACTGAAATATGCACAAAGGTATAAACGACATTTCCATCCTTTTAGCAATACCTAGTGCTGAATGTTTGGAGAAGGAAATGGCAGTCCACTCCAGTGTTCTTGCCTGGAGAATCCCAGGGATGGGGGAGCCTGGTGGGCTGCCATCTATGGGGTCGAATAGAGTTGGACACAACTGAAGTGACTTAGCAGCAGCAGCAATGCTGAATGTTAGTACTGCTTATTTTTTTTTTCAGTTTTTACAACTGTTGGATATTAGAATTTTACTGGTAGTGTTCTGTATTAAGTTGAGGAGTAGCTCCTTTTAGGAGTTGTTTATTCACAGCAGAATACACTGTGTAATTTGTTATTTTATTTAGATACTTTCAGAAAGTACAATATCAGCCATTCATAAACTGTGGCCGGGTCATTTCCCCAGAATTATTTTATGCTCCTGTTGTTTGGAATGCCAAACATGTTTCTTTTTAAAAGATTATTTCGTGTGGTTATTGGTTCCTCAAACCAACCACTTTAGTCTGTTTACTCCACGTGAAAAGTATAGAACTGTGTAAGACCTCAGTGATTATATTTGGCCTTCTGTATAGTAGTTGTTCATAAGGAAAGTATATTTGGAATTCTGAAGTGAAATGGCAGGAGTCCTTCATGAATAAAGCAGACTTGTGGAAACACCCATAATACAGCCCCATTTCATCTACCAGAGATTTGGAGCAGTGTTGTCTGAACCAGTGATGGTGACTGCAGTGTCCTGGGATACCTTCTGGTTTGTAGGCTGTGGCTCCTTGGAATCTTTTTTCTTTTGGAACTGTGTGTCAGCTGCTCTGACCACATTTTGCTCTTTCGTAATACAGTGCTGAACTCTGTGGTCTCTTCTTCTTTCTCTTAATTTGGTTTTGAAAGCAATTAGATCATTCTTTAATAAGTAAGTAGTGGGTACAACCCTTGCTTAGCTGAGTGACATGCAAGTATTTTGATACAAATGGTTGGTTGTGGAAGGAAAAGCACTTTCTTATTAGTTTTTGCAACTGTGTTTTCTTGAGAACATTTTTGATGTAGACTGGGCAGATATTTGACTTCTTGACGTGTGTTTATATGACTTTAAAGACTAAACGTGTTAATCTGGCAAATCTTTTTATCTGTACCCACAGGATGGCGAAACACCCCTTATAAAGGCTACCAAGATGAGAAACATAGAAGTGGTAGAGCTGCTGCTGGATAAAGGAGCCAAAGTGTCTGCCGTCGATAAGGTAGTAATAAAACATTTGTGCAGAGAGCATAGGGCAGTTGGTAAGACCAACCTGTATACCTGGTGGACTTAGGGGAGTCTCATGTTATTTTGTGGAGGGAGAGATTACTGACGGGATATCTGTGTGGGATTTGGATGCTGTGAGGTCTTGGCTGTTCTGAGAGCGTGCTGAGGAGTGGGCAGGCTCAGTTAAAGAAGTTGCTTCCTGTGTGCCCTCTGTGGCTCAGATCAGTTATAGGGAGCTGAGCTGCATTGAGCACCATGCAAGGATGATGTCATCAGCATGGATCTTGTTGCAGAGAAACAAGAGGAAAGAATCAAGATAAGCCACAGGAAGAACGTGGCACATCATTTTCATTTAAGGTTCTAGAGCAACCAGAGTGGGCGGGAACTGAGAATTTCATTTGTTAGCTTTTGGGTCATTGTCTTTAAGAGATGTTTGTAAAGTAAAATGTGGAGAATACTTTGCAGACTAAATTTTTTTTACATGATAGTTTTCATTAGTGCTGGATGTGAAGAGTAAAGTGATGGAGATTCTAATAAGGGAAGAAGGCAGGTTGATGTTTGAGAGAAGTTAAAGCTGAGGGAATGGAGAGATGGTAAGTAGCCAGAGAAGGGTGGATACAATAGAGAGGACTCTGAGGGAGGGAATATAGAGAAAGACGATGATGGTGACCAAGGGCGTGAGGAAAGACAAGTTCACTTGTGGTAGTGAAATACCAACATGGACTGAGATGCTGTGTAGACCAATGATGAGAGCATTGTGAAATAGAATATAAATTAGTTGAGGAAGACAGTTGACATCAGTGGACAGTTAGTATCTGAATGGTAGATGGAAGTACCATTAACCTATGATGGAAGTGGATCCAGGGCCTGTGGGAAGCCACAGGGGAAACCTGTTCCTTGTGCTCTTTCATTCTGGAGGCTCTGGGAGAAAGAATACCCAAGAAAAGCTAGGGAAGGAACTAGAGAAAGAAAATTACAAGGAAGATAGAAATAAAAACTCATATGAAAAATATGGAGAGTTTGGATATTTTCTTATTTTGTAGAAATATGGAAAATGTTATTCTGTATATATGTACATGAGAAATGGGAAAGTTCAAGTGTCCCTTCACTGTTTACAGAAAGGAGACACCCCTCTGCACATTGCTATTCGTGGGAGGAGTCGGAAACTGGCAGAACTCCTTTTAAGAAACCCCAAAGATGGACGGTTACTGTATAGACCCAACAAAGCAGGCGAGACTCCCTACAATATTGACTGTAGCCATCAGAAAAGCATCTTAACTCAAATATTTGGAGCCAGTGAGTATTGGGTTTTGTATCTGCCTGAGGTTTTAAGAAATGAACATCTATGAAAAGATTAAGAGAATGACAGCAGTTTTGTGTTTATCACTTAACCAGAGATTATAAAAGTTAAATATGTTATTACTTTGCTGTAGACAAGTAACTTCTTCCTGTCTAGAGTTCCTTTCATTATATTGGAGCATTCTAAATTAAGTACATTCAGAGTCAATGGTAGCTTTTAAAACCTTCAAAAATCTAGCCTACTTTTCTGAAAATCTCATCCCCCTGTTATTCTCTCAGGTAGACTTTGTTCTTTTGTCAAACATGCTCTGTTTTCAGTGAGTGGCTCTCAACCTCTGCTTGTGTTGTGCACGCTCCATTCCCATGAATGTTCTTGTTAAAATCCTGTCTCTCCAAGGTTGGGGTCAGCTGTCTCCTTCTCAGTGACCTTTTGACTGATCTGCCTGCTGCTGCTAAGTCGCTTCAGTTGTGTCCGACCCTGTGCGACCCCATAGACGGCAGCCCACCAGGCTCCCCTATCCCTGGGATTCTCCAGGCAAGAACACTGGAGTGGGTTGCCATTTCCTTCTCCAATGTGTAAAAGTGAAAGTGAAGTCACTCAATTGTGTCCAGCTCTTACTGACCCCATGGACTGCAGCCCACCAGGCTCCTCCATCCATTGGATTTTCCAGGCAAGAGTACTGGAGTGAGGTGCCATTGCCTTCTCTGGACTGATCTGCCTAACCAGATGAAATTTTTGCCCCATTTGGGTACTTAAGCACTGTGTTAATAATCCTTTTTAAATACCTATTACATATGCCCTTTTATTTTGTTTCTTTTAGAATTTTCTCCCAGATTCCAAGTTATTCAGGGCAGGCATTCTTTCTTCTTATCTTTTATCCTCCATAACACCTTGCATAATGCCTTGAATGTTGTACTAAAGTAGTTTTTGCTTATAGAGGATGCACGTGAGAATCTAATCATTCACATGTAGTCTTTTGAAATATGGAGCAATTTTCTACTCAAATTAAAAAGAGACATGTTAGTCCTAGAAACCAACAGGAGAGAGTAGCATCCTGCCACCTTCCAGTTTAGCTGTTTATTTACATCTTGTTTTTAAATTTTAAGTATGATTCTATTGTATTAAGTTTTGTAATGCATACATTAAATTTTAAGGATGAAAACACAAATATAGTAGAAAAAAAGTGCAATCTTCCCGTTTTCCCTTATTTCCTAATTTGTCATTGTTTGTACAAATTGTAAATTCTTTACATTTCTAAAAATGTTTTATACTATATATATATAGCCTTAAAAAACACTTGAGAATACTGTATTATAAAAGTTTTAAATGATTGTTGCATAATCTTTCAATCAGTTTTAACAGTATGGTCAGTTCTTTATTGATAAATATTTGGTTTGTTTTGCAATCAAAAGCTAGTGCTTCAGTGAACATATTTGTACAAATATCCATTAACTCTTATTTTTAGGATTATTTTCTTGGAATAAACTTCCAGAAGTAGAACTGGCAAGTCACTGGGTATTCAGTTTTGATAGACTTTCCAAAATGGTTGTAACAATCTCTTCTTCCTTAGGCCGCGTTTGTGCACTTCCCTACAACCTTGCTAACACTGGATATTTCCAGCTTTTTTATTAACCTTTGCTAATCAGATTGATAAGAAAAAAGTTTCATTTTAATTTCCATTGTAAAATTATTAGTGAGATTGAGATCTTTTAATAACATTCGTAGCGTATTTCCTTTTTTGCTATTTTCCTCTTTGACTCCTTTGTCCTCTTTTTTAAAAAATTATTTAATAAAATTGAGTTTTGTGTTTTTAAGGATATTGATCCTGAATTCAGCTATATAGTGTATCTCTCTCCCCAGATTATTCTTTGTTTATGGTGATGGGAGTTTTTTTATTCCCCATTCGAAAGGTATATAAATCTGTAGTTTGTTGACCTTTTCTTGCAGCTCTGGCTTTAATATTATATTGAGAAGGAAAGGTCTTTTTCCACACAAAGATTTTTAAAGGTTTTTGTCTTATATTTCCTTGTACTTTTATAGTTTTATTCTTTACGTTTAATTTTTTGTTTCAGAACCGTATTTTTGTTGAAGTATGAGATGTAGAGTTTTAATTTCATTAAAAAGAAGGGAAAAAAAAAAGAATGGCTTACTTCTCCCAACACCACCTACTAATTCATCCTTTCCCCACTGATCAGACATGCCACTTACATTAATATCCTGTGTGAGTTCTATGGTATTGTAATTATTGTCGTTTTAGAATGTATTTTGAGTCTTCTCCAAAGAGAGCTAATTGTTGGTAGTCTTTAAATTTTTTTCATACCTATTCTTACTTTTTAATTTTTCAGAATATTCTCATCTATTTTTATTGAGATTGCCTTAAAGTGATTGATTAATTTGGGGAGAATTGCTATTGTTTAGTCATTGACCCTTTCTGTTTGGAACTATAGAATAATTTTTTTCTCTGCTTATCTCTTGTGTTTTTAACTAACATTTTATAGCCTTATTTTTATTCATACTGTACATTAAATTGATTCCTATTGACTAGTTTCTGTTTTAATCTTTTTATTGATTTTATAATATACTTTACTCCACATTTTAGTATCCTTGAAGTTGGACTTTGTCTTATAATTGATGGGTGAGAAAGCATTGTGTCATAATTTGGCAACCTTTCTTCTCTCAGTTGAACATAATAATGATGCCTCTTGTAATTAGTAGGTATTTAAGTTCTGTGAAATATGATATTAACTTATTAATCTCTGAACCTATTTTTACACAGGTCTAACCCTGGTGGCTTAGATGGTAAAGAATCTGCCTGCAAAGCAGGAGACTGGGGTTCAGTCCCTGAATCAGTAAGATCCCCTGGAGAAGGGAATGGCAACCCACTCCATATTCTTGCCTGGAGAATCCCATGACAGAGGAGCCTGATGGGCTATAGTCCATGGGGTTGCAGAGAGTCAGACACGACTGAGCAACTAACACTTTCAACCTTTTTTTCCGTTACTTGAGTTAACAATTAATACATGAGAATTGATACTCCTTTATAATGTCTCTTTTTAATGTTAGGGTATCATGTATTTATAATTACAGGACACTTGTCTCCTACCGAGACAGATGGTGACATGCTTGGTTACGATCTGTACAGCAGTGCCCTGGCAGATATTCTCAGTGAGCCTACCATGCAGCCGCCCATTTGTGTGGGCCTTTATGCACAGTGGGGAAGTGGTAAATCCTTCTTACTCAAGAAACTAGAAGGTAAAGGGCTTGTTTATAAAGTGTATGCATATATAACAAGGTTTTCTCTTGTGTGTTTTTTAAGTAAAAATAAGAGTTTTATGTATGGGTATGTGGTTGATCCTCCACCCAATCATTTGAGTTCTCTCTCTAAAACAAAGGTCCAACTGCATTAGAACCCCTCTGTAGCAGATTTCCTGCCTGCACTGTTTATAGATATCTTAAACCTATAGGTATCTTAAACCAGGGCCCTTTGCAGACATGTCAGCTTGTGTGCTCCCACCTGCCAGCACTACCTCTTGTGCAGTTCAGTGGTGTAGTTACAGATGGCTGTTTGCTCTTGTAGGCACAGACCAGACACTTACTGAGTGGCTCCTCTGCATCTCCCCCCACCTCTGACCTGAGACCCCACTCCTTTTGCTTAGCAAAATCTTACTTATTTCTTCAAGGACAGGTTTCAGTATCACCTGTAAATTTTTTTTTTTTAACTAAATTTTGTAGTAGGAATGAATGACTTGTTTCCAGCTCATTTGGGCTCACCTTAAGAGCAGTGATCCTCAAATGTAACTGGAGGGAGAAGGGATGAGGAGTCGCAGAGGAATGGTGGTGCTATGTTTTCTGAAGACACACATAGCAAAGTAATAATTTTTAGTTTTATATATGGAAACAATACTTTGTTGGTTGCATTAATACAAATCTCAAAATATCAACAAAACCTTGACAGACGGGAATATATGAGAGAGGATTTTGTGCGTCTTCAGTAGGAAGCAAGAGAGTGGGTAGGGCAAGGGTCAAGGGTCAATGTGCCCCCAAGGAATGAGATTGTTAGCAAAAGCGAACATTGGTTAGCATGGTTAAGTAGCAACATTCTAGCTAGGTAAATGTTTATAGTGAAAATGTGAAATTTTCAAAATGTTTTATTTTTTAAACAAATAATGTTTTCTTATAATTTCTCTTTCAGATGAAATGAAAACTTTTGCAGGACAACAGATTGAACCTCTGTTTCAGTTTTCATGGCTTGTGGTGTTTCTGACCCTGCTGCTTTGTGGAGGGCTTGGTTTATTGTTTGCTTTTACAGTAGACCCAAATCTTGGAATTGCAGTGTCATTGAGCTTCTTGGCTGTCTTGTATATATTTTTTAGTAAGTCTTTGTCTTTTATCTTTTTCAAAAATATAGAGAATGCCAAAACTCATTGTCTTATTTAGAATTGTATCTGCATCTGTCTTCTAAAGTCTAAAAGTGGTTTTCCTATTTTGATGAGAAGATTGATTTTTTTGCTATTTTGTAAGTTGACTTAGAGGAGCATTGTCCCCAGCCTGCCTGGCAAAACTTTATTTATTTTTTTTCTGGCAAAACTTTAAAAGCTAGTGCACTACTTATTAATATTGAAGCAGAACTTTAAATTACTTTTCCTTTTTTATGTTAATGATTTGTGTTTGAATCTTTTTTGAAAATAAATCTTCATAGACATCATGGCATGCTCTTGATCATTTTGATCATGACTGTGATTTTTATTTTATCTAAAAGTAAGGTAATAAATATATATAATCCCTGTTTTTAGGAGTGTCTTCAGTTGCAAGAAAGGAAATAAGTTTACTGTTGGTAACTTCAGCAGTCACAAGTAGAGATAAAACCAGTCATTCTTACATTTGAATCTGAACTAAAGGATATGCTTTGGTTTAAGGCATTATCCTTCTGATTGTGTTTATTATGTCATATTTTAGCCCAACTTACTTTCTGTTTTTCACATACCTGATAATATGTTTTTGCTTTTGTTATTGCTCAGACGCTCAGTTGTGTCCAACTCTTTGTGATCCCATAGACTGTAGCCCACCAGACTTCTCTGTCCGTGGGATTCTCCCAGCAAGAAGACTAGAGTGGGTTGCCATTTCCTACTCCAGGGGATCTTCCTTACCCAGGGATTGAACCCAGATCTCTTACGTCTCCAGCACTGGCAGGTGGATTCTTTACCACTAGCTCCACCTGGGAAGCTCCTGATGTTTGTTGGGGAAGGTTAATTAGTTGAGGAATTCTTTGAGAACTAGTTAGGAAATAACAAGGGACCATGAAAATTATGTAAGCCTACCTGTCACTACTTGATACTTGACTGTTTGCAGAAAAGAGGCTGCTTGACTAATGATTGTTCTGGATAATTTTTTTTAAAACCTTGACTTTTAGTTGTCATTTACTTTGGTGGACGGAGGGAAGGAGAGAGTTGGAATTGGGCCTGGGTCCTCAGTACTAGATTGGCAAGACATATCGGCTACTTGGAGCTCCTCCTCAAATTGATGTTTGTGAACCCACCTGAGCTGCCAGAGCAAACCACTAAAGCTCTGCCTGTGAGGTGAGTTGGTCCCTTAGACAGAAGTAACTTTTAATAAAATGAAGCAAATGAAAGTTGATAATACATTTTTTCTCATGTTTTCTTAAGGGAGGAAAAAAAAATTGGTCCCTTAAACTTTTTAAATTGAGAAATAAAACAAACATGCCCTCGTCACATCACTTGGAAAACTCTTCATATTACATCTCCCTCTTGTACATTGTAGGATCAGAGACACCTTTTCATAAAAAATTATATTTAACTTTGATTTACCAAATTTTATTAGAGTGAAGCCCCACATTCCCCCCTTACGATACCTATTACCATCCTTTGGACAAATCAGTAAAGAGTACTGGGTCTAGGTTGGAGTCCTGGAACCTTTTGACATCAGGGTGTGGTCTTGGCAACTCAGCATGTGCTCCGAGCTGTTCTTTCCTCAGCTGTGGATATGTATGTACCCACTCCTCTAAAGTTATCATCATATCAAATAGGGAAGGTATGAGCAAACAGTTCAGAAAAGATGAGAAACTTGTAAGTCAAAGAGTAAAGGAAATCTGGAGGGCCCCAGAGGAAAGTAAAATGGAAAAAAAGGTTAAAGAACTGAAAGCAAAAGGAATTCAACAGAAATTAGTAAAATAATTAAATATGCAAAAATTAAGAATTTAGAAATTATTGTAAGATAAAATATGTGTAAGTTAAGCTGAAAGTGAATGATCCAAACCTGGTAAGACATCAGAACTATGAGAGGAAGATAAAAATAAATTTACAGGTAAATAAATGGTATATAGGATTAAGTGTTAAGAAAAGGATTTAAAATGAGAAGTTAAAATGAAAAACATAAAAAGAAGACATACAGAATAGAATAAAAAAAGTTGGGGAAGATATTTTTACATAAAAGCATTTAAAGTTAATGAGATCATTATCTTTTAAAAAGTTAGAGCAACTAAAATAGCATTAATTTAATTAAGACCAAGTATATATAGAGTACACTGTGATCCTGGATTGTATTTTGAAAGCAGTGCCTGTCTACAGGATTAAGTTGAGAGTTTAGCAGTAGAAAGGAATAAAGGAACTAATGCAGAAGTAATACCCATTCAGAGGCTCAAAATGCAAATAATTCAGTTATTTCACAGAACAACTAGGAAAAGAATATAACTTCTTTCTCAACCTCTGGTAGATGAGTAAGCTATAAATAGGACATTCTGAAGGTTGAGTTTTTAAATGGCATCAAGTTCGTAATTACTATACTATTTTCTCAAGGTTCTAATCTCTTCAGTTGGTGTTTACAAAATGTTCTTTGTGCGCCTCTTTCTGACTAATGTGGGGCACCACCGTTGAATTGTTGTCATGAGATCTGGGAGATGTCTGGCTCCTTTGTCTAAGTTCTGTCATAACCTTTTCCCTTTTCTGCTTTTAGTCAGAATTGCTTCATATAACTTACTAATTTAACATTTGTTACTGTCATTTCCTAAGAAAAGAATATAAGCTTTTAGAAATGGAAGATACCTAATTACAAATAGAATTTTAAAAACAATATTTTGACAGAGACATGAAGGAAACACCGAGCTACATGATAGACATAATGTATGTTGAAACTGTTTCTTTAGGTAGCGGCATAACATTTTCTTTCCCCTTTCCCCAAGCGGCATAACATTTTCTTTCCCCTTTTCCCAAGGTTTTTGTTTACAGATTATAATAGACTGTCCAGCGTAGGTGGGGAAACTTCAATGGCTGAAATGATCGCCACCCTCTCGGATGCTTGTGAAAGAGAGTTTGGCTTTTTGGCAACCAGGCTTTTCCGAGTGTTCAAGACTGAAGATACGCAGGGTAGGACCTTTTCTTCTTTCTGTATATGGAGGGGTTGAGGATGGTATGGACAAAATGCATGGAAACATGAACATCAGGTTCTAATAATATGCTGTCACTGTAATGATTGGGACTTTCTGGATGCTTGAGATGTTAAAACCATTTGTTGTATTTTACAGGTAAAAAGAAATGGAAAAAAACATGTTGTCTCCCATCTTTTGTCATCTTCCTTTTCATCTTTGGCTGCATTATTGCTGGGATTACTCTTCTGGCTATATTCAGAGTTGACCCCAAGCATATGACAGTGAATGCTGTCCTCATATCAATTGCGTCCATAGTGGGGTTGGCGTTTGTGCTTAACTGTCGAACATGGTGGCAGGTGCTGGATTCACTTCTGAATTCTCAAAGGAAACGCCTCCATAATGCTGCCTCCAAACTGCACAAACTGAAGAGTGAAGGATTCATGAAAGTAAGCACTCCTGGCTTGTTAGAAAATAATTCTGGGAATTCTCTAGTGGTCCAGTGGTTAGGACTCTGCTTTCACTGCCAAGGGCCCATGTTTGATCCCTGGTCAGGGAACTAAGATCCCATATAAACTGTGTGGTGTGGCCAAAATAAAAAAAAAAAAGAAAATAGTCCTAATGTAAACATGCTCCTATGACCATGATCACTGGGGCTTTAGGGAGTCTGTTTTCTAACTGTTAGAGAATTGCACTTGTTTTTAGTTTTAATCCAGATTTTTCCTATGAAAAATGCATGTATAGTATGGAAAAAGTTATAACAGTAACGTCTTTTTATAAAATCGACTTTTACCAGATCCTCATAGAGTTAACTATAACTTCAGTACTTTGGCCCCCTGATGTGAAGAACCAATTCATTGGCAAACAGCCTGGTGCTGGGAAAGACTGAAGGCAAAGGAGAAGGAGAGGGCAGAGGATGAGATGGTTAGATAGCATCACCGACCCAGTGGGTATGAATTTGAGCAAACTTGAGGAGATAGTGGAAGACAGAGCCTGATGTGCTGCAGTCTGTGGGGTCACAGAGTCGGACACAACTTGGCAGCTAAACAGTAACAGCAGAGTTAGCAGATGCCCCTCAGGTGGTAGTTATTACCTAATAGTTCAGGTTGCTCTGCAGCCTGGTAGAGTAGACAAATTGAACCACCAAAACATAGAAGATAGGAATGTACTTTTTAGAGTAAAAAAGGACTTTATACAATTATCCACAGCCCCTTCCTTTGATCAAGGTCACATCCATCTGGAAGCCAGTTGTGGTGAGGCATGTAGGTCATTTGGTTTTGCATTTTAATCTGTCTTCTGACCTTCAGAGCATGTGATCTTGGCATGTAAGTCACTTCAGCCAAGTTTGTCCTTTTAAAATGCATATGACATTGTCTACCTCTTTGTAAGAAATGCTCTAATTTAGATGAAGGCACTTTGTAAATGGTGACGCATTCACTACAGTTCCACTAACTGGAACCACAGCTGGCAGCGAGCACTTTGGGTTTCTTTTCTTCCAGTAGGTGACTTTCAGGCTCTTTAAGAGAGGTACTTAAGTTTCTCGTATCTTCAGCACAGTGTATCCTTTCTTTTGCACAGGTTCTTAAGTGTGAAGTGGAATTGATGGCCAGGATGGCAAAAACCATTGACAGCTTCACTCAGAATCAGACAAGGCTGGTGGTTATCATCGATGGATTAGATGCCTGTGAGCAGGACAAAGTACTCCAGATGCTGGACACTGTACGTCTTAACCATCTTGAAACTTGTAACTGTAACATATGTGGCAGCTGAGAGGAACAGCTTCATGAATATCTTAAGTGGAATTTGAATACTATTTTTTCTTTTATAAAAACAACTGTGTGTTTTATGCAGAAACAGGAGAAGTTTCATCCCAAGCACATTTAACCAATTTTAGTTTAATGGCAGTGTGAGGGGAAACGTGAGTAGGGGGGTCTCTAAAGTCCAGGGTGTGACTCCAGCGTTTCTATACAGATGGTTATGGTTAGAATATAGATAGGGGTGGGGAGACCACAGAATATGTGGAGTTTTTGTTAAAAAGTAAGAAAGGTCACTGGCTTTCTGTAAGGTCTGGTATAAGCAACAGTGTGTGCCTGTGGTCAGAGACCAGCGTGTGCAGTTCACCGTTTCTGCTTGTATTTCTCATGTGTTTGGATCTTACTAGACGAGTATGTGCAGTGCACCGTGTCTGCTCATGAGTACTTCATGAGTGTTTCTCATGTGTGTTGCTCTTACTAGACCAGTATGTACAGTGCATCGTGTCTGCTCATGAATATTTCATAAGTATTTTTCATGTTTGTGGATCTTACTTCTTAATGTAGATCCTGAGGGTCTCAAAGTAGGACAGGACCAATTGTTTCCTTCGGAGATTCTCTCACTGTCAAATGTTGAAAAATTGTCAGGTGGTGAAAAACCAGATTGAGACTTCAATAAAATTTGTTTTCACATAGAATAACATTTGAATGAGAAGGAAATGCTATTTTTAAAATGTAGTCACAAAGGCTAACACAGAATTTGAAGAGAGGTTTTGTTACTTTGGATAATTTAAGTTTTTTACTGTGATTATACATTTCTTTTACCACAGGTCCGAGTTCTGTTTTCAAAAGGCCCATTCATCGCCATTTTTGCAAGTGATCCACATATTATCATAAAGGCAATTAATCAGAACCTCAATAGTGTGCTTCGTGACTCAAATATCAATGGGCATGACTATATGCGCAATATAGTTCATCTGCCCGTTTTCCTCAACAGTCGGGGACTAAGCAGTGCAAGAAAATTTCTTGTGACTTCAACAACTAATGGAGATGTTCCATGCTCGGATAATGCAGGTAAAGATCAAGTTCCTTGGGTACTTTGGGTTTGAAGTGGTTCTGTAGTTTTTCATTTTGCATCTCCTCTTACCTTGAAAAGTATTGTTTGAATTTCATGACTCTTTAAGTATCATGTTTACAGCAGAGTTTCAGGACAAATGGTGCTTTCTTGATAAACTCTTTTAGGGATGCAGGAAGATGCTGACAGAAGAGTTTCACAAAACAGCCTTGGAGAGATGACAAAACTTGGTAGCAAGACGGCCCTTAATAGACGGGTAAGATAGTGTATGTTTTGAGCCATTTGTTTATATTGCTGCTGTTTAAGTAAAACCAAGGTGAGGCCACTTAATATTTTATAAATACTGCATTGAGCTCATAAAGTACATTTTATCATTGGTGGTTTTTCAGGGAATGTCTGAATCTAGAGCCATAATAACTGTAAATTATATAGGAGTGCCCAGTCTCTCCCAGCCTGCTCTCAGCCCAGGTCCCACTCCAGACCAGTTGAATCAGAACCTCTGAGAGTGAGATATGAAAGGTTCCCAGATGATGTCACTGGGGGCAGAGAACCGCTGGGTTCATCCCAGGACAGGTTGTGCTTGTCCCAGGGCCCATTGTCACCACAACTGTAAAGGGGAGAGGCTTGTAGTGTGAGAACCAGTCTTTGCTGTGTTGTCCCGTTGGCTGACCTCCTGCCCTAATGTTTGTGAGGTGTGCGCTCTTTTTTCCTATCCCCACAAAGTGACCTTGTGTGCCTTTCCCAGTCCGTTGGTTGTCTCCTAGGAGACACTGTAGTTTCCCTGCCCTGCCCTTTCCTAGGAGCCTTTTGTAAAGAACTGGGGCTATTATAAGACAGGAGATGTACCTTTGCAGCTAAGTGATGGTAACAGTGCTGCTTATGGATGGCAAACTTGGTCTAGCATCAGTGATATTTCCCACTACCTGCCCCGCCCTGCCCCGCCCCCCAGTTTGCGAATCTTTAATTGGGACATTTTACATTTTAAAAACTATTTTCAGGTATTTTGATCTTATGCCTTTACCATGTTCAAGTATGGATGCAGAAATAATATTATGAAGGATAATTGACAGCTCTAAATTAAGAATGGGATATGAGTTACCATTTAGAATTTCTGTCCTGGGAGCCTGGACTGTTGGGTTCCCTTGTCTCATGACCTTAGATGAGAACCACCCTCGTTGTGCCTGCTTCTCCTGATTGGATGGGACCCCTGCTCATCCCGCCCAGTAGAGAGCCTTTCATTCTTACTAGACATGAGGATACAGCAGCTGTGCCCTTTCAGTAATTGTCACGTTTGAAAATAACCTAAAAATCAAAATGCTGAATCCTTAAATCTGGGCAAGGGGTTACTTGCTTTATTATCAGGGTTCCTATAGATACTGAGCTGCCATAAGAGTTTGAATTGAATTTTCTTTATATAGTTCATCTTATTTGTAGTTTTCAAGGCATTGGGCTTTCTCTGATTGTATAACTATAAATCAGGTACACCCAAAGCTAAACCATAGTCTGTGATGCATTTGCTGGAAATACTTACTTTAGAGTTCAGTACATATTCTACTTCAGGGAGGAGTAATAATACTTTTTGTTTCTATTTCATCTTCCTCTTTGATTGAAATTTTGGATTGTTTTTCTTGTTGACATAGACATGTATTAACTTCTCAAAAAAGCCTCAAGTTCTCAGGGTTGAAGTGAGGGTTCGTTCTCACTGATGGTACCCCGTTTTCAGGACACTTACCGAAGAAGGCAGATGCAGCGCACAATAACCCGGCAGATGTCCTTTGACCTCACAAAACTGCTGGTTACGGAGGACTGGTTCAGTGACATAAGTCCCCAGACCATGAGAAGACTGCTTAACATTGTTTCTGTGACAGGTGGGTTTCATTGTCTTAGTGTTGTGTGGTAGACAATAAGGTGGAACATTAACAGAGCAATTCACTTCCAGAAACAAAAGGATGGAGTGTGTTTATAGGTTTACACTGCTGAACACCAGTTTTATTTTGCATTCTGTGTCTAATAAAACCAGTATTAGTTTCGATAGTGAAAATTGACAGTCAGTTGTCTACTATTATTTTAAAATGTGACGATTTAAAAATTTCACCTCAGGTTTAATTTTTCTCTTTGTATAAAAATTTTATGCTCATTTGTATGACTATAATTAATTTATTCTTTAAAATGTTGAAGTTCAGATTTTTACATGCTGCTATTCTGCTTCAATTTTCAAATTACATATTTTTTCTTTTTTTTAATGTGTTAAATGATATACACATAAAATTTACCATCTTAACCAGGGTCCAGTTGGGTGGTATTAAATACTTTCACTATTTGTGTATCCTTCACCACCATCCATCTCCATAATGCATTTCATTCCATTAAACTGAAACTCTATACTCATCCCCCTGGTCCTCTCCCAGCAGCCATATAAATATTAGGTATGAATTTGTAGTGTAAGTTAAGTGGCAAATTAAAAAACACTGAAAGTTGGTTATTTGTGAATATATAGAATGGTTGCCTTAACATAACGTTACACACCTATTAATTCTAAAATGTTTTTTGTATTCTTTAAAGGACGATTACTGAGAGCCAATCAGATAAGCTTCAACTGGGATAGGCTTGCTAGCTGGATCAATCTAACTGAGCAGTGGCCGTACAGAACTTCATGGCTCATATTGTATTTGGAAGAGACTGAAGGTATCCCAGATCAAATGACATTAAAAACCATCTATGAAAGGTACTTTATCTTACCTCTTTATATTTAAATTTGTTTTAAATTGAGTTGACTCTTAAGAAAAAAGTTAATGCATACAAAGCAAAATAAATGCAAAATAATATGTATAAAATGTAGAGTTCTGAGTTTAATCATTCTTATTAGTAATTTTTCCATTATAATTTCAGAGTTGTATTAGCACAGGTATATATCCCATCACATAAAATTTGCAGCTTTATTTGGATAAATTCTTTCTTTCTCAGTGTAACCTATATGATAAAAGATGTTTAATTAATAGTCCTATTAGATTTATGTGTTTAAATATACAAAAGGCAAACCTTGAAACATTGTTTAATGTCCATTTTATTTTTTATTCTAAGTGTCTTGATAGAATGTTGAGGAGGTCTCATTTTCCAAATCGTTAGTGCGGGTGTTTTCACAGCTTTGTATCTGGAGGACCTGGGCAACTGTGAATACGGGCTGGTAAACGTGCTTTGCACTAAACAGTAAAGGAATTTATTGTTCTTTTATAGTTATTGGAAGTACTTTTAAATTTACTTCTGATAAATAAATTGATTAAATTTTTTCTGGGAAAACACACTGTCAAGGCTCAGTGTAGTGTCAAGTTTTGAGAGTACCACTTTCTTGTCAAATTCACAAACAAAATTATAGTCCTCTTTGTTTACCAGAATACTTAATACCTTCATAGCTTTCAATTACAACTCTAAATAAAAGGTATCTCTTAGGAAAAAGTGCAATTCAAGGAGCTATGTAATTGTATAAAACAGTATAATTGAAGCATTATTTTGAACATGTAAATGAAATAGTAAACCTGACCAACCATTCAGTGTAGAGTTTCTATATTAAACTTAAAATTCCAAATAGTTTCTCCTTGAGTATTATCAGTATATGGTTTTCTTTATTTTCTAATCCCCATTTTTCATGTACATATTTTATCTAATATTTTCTAGGTAAGTAACTGATTTTAGAATATAGAGGATGGTTGTAGTATTCGTCTACACACTTGAGCTCTTGAGGTTGTATGTTCAATTTATGTTACATTAATCAGTGTAAACTGTGTGAGCTGTGTGAAGTAGGTGTTCCAGTAGATGGCAGTGATCCACAGCTGCCAGGGGCCTGCAGAGCAGTGTTACTGGATACATCTGCTCTTTGATATCTTAGAAATCCTCTTTTTATTATGAGATACATGATTGGTTTTTTCCTTGGTTGTGTAGTAGACTGTTGTTTTGTTTCATGAATAAACATTTGCATTGTAACAGGTGCTACATAATGAATGTTTGCTGGATGAGCACAGTTTAGGTTTTGGTGCAGAATAGGACTCAAGTCAGTCTCTTCACCTTCATGTAATTGAACGTGATGCCTAGAAGTTTCCTGTGTCTCAGGAGTACAAAAACATTGACCAGTGTTCACCCTTTAAGGGCTGTATGCTTAGAGTTCAGCCCTCGGCCCTATGCATGCTCTGTGAAGAGGGTGAGACTTGGTGAGAGAGTCTGTGTCCTCAGGAAATAGAAGCAGGAGAGATGTTACAATATCAAAAAGTTTTTAAAACTCTCAGAAAAATTCATGATTCAGTTCAATCAGAAAAAGTTTATTAAGTGTCTACTAGGCCCTGCTACCAGTACTGGAGATAACAATGGTGAACAAGTAAATATGTATTTACTTGTTCACCCAGCAATCCCACTGTGGAAATTTACTCTGAACACACACCTCCACAGTGATAAAACAACACTTATACAAGGTTATTTATTGTGACCTTATCTGTAGCACCATAACTTAACTGCATGTTTTTAGAAACATTAGTTGAATAAATTATGGCACATCTACCATAATAGAGTATTTTGTAACTGTAGAAAATGAGAAAAAAACTATGGTTTGATATGGAGAAATTGTAAGGATACATTAGTAAGTGTAAACTGCAAAGTGCGAGAGTATATAACATGCTCTATTTGTGTAAGAAAGAAGGGGGAATAAGGACATCTACATATAAAGATGTAAATATGTATTATTTTTTGTGAAAATATAAGACAACCCACAGGAAGGAAAAAGCAAACTAATAAAAATGTTTACCTGAAGAGGATGCTTAGATGGGGAATGAGATGTACTCTGAATGTGTATTTTTATATGGTTTGCCTTTCATATATTAAAAAAACTAATTCAAAAAGGATAGAAAAAAGCAAACCCTAAAATTGAATACAAACAGGAAGAATTGATGCTAATGATACATGAAACTGATAGTATAACCACACAGAAAAATATTAATTCAAACACCTTGGAACTCAGTTTTCTCTTGACTCTTTATTCTTAGTAGAATATACTGAGGCCAAAATTAGCTGCAACGAAATCTTGAACTTAGTAGGTTTATTGTTGCTAATCGTATTATTATACTCCTGAAGTCTCTTTATGTGTATTGTAAGATAGAGTAAATGAATGAATAAATTGATATTCTTGGAAGCCAGTGTTTTCTCTGTGGGAGAAGGGAATACCAGTGTTGAATGGAAAAAAATTAGGAAGAGCACTGTGGTATTAGATTGAATTTTGTTGTTGTTAGGTCACTAAGTCGTGTCTGACTCTGTGACCCCATGGACTGCAGTACACCAGGCTTCCCTGTCCTTCACTATCTCCTGGAGTTTGCTCAGATTCATGTCCATTGAGTTGGTGATGCTGTCCAACCATCTCACCCTCTGTTGCCCCCTTCTCTTTTTGCCTTCAGTCTTTCCCAGCATCAAGGTGTTTTCCAATGAGTCGGCTCTTCACATGAGGTAGCCATAGTATTGGAACTTCAGCTTCAGTATCAGTCCTTCCAATGAATATTTAGGGTTGATTTCCTTTAGAATTGACTGGTTTGATCTCCTTGCAGTTCAAGGGGACTTGAAGACTCAAGAGTCTTCTCCAGCACCACTGGCCATGAGATTTCCCAAGAAAGAATACTAGAATGGGTTGCCATTTCCTTCCTTCAGGGGATCTTCCCTGACCCAGGGATTGAACCCAGGTTGCCTGTGTCTCCTACATTGCAGGCAGATTCTTTACCTGCTGAGGCATCTGGAAAGCAGATTGGATTTGGAAATGTTAAATTATTAACTCGTAATTTAAAATGAGGTTTTCCCTTGCTTTGCCCAGCAAAAGGGAGCAAAAATATCCCCAAACCGTGAGCCCACCTGGAGCTGAACTCCTTGGAGAAATGGCTAATTCCAGGTCTGAGGCAGGGAAAGCTCAAGGGGAGTCTGCATTGTTGTGCCAGGAACCAAGGAAGGATGTGTTCGAGGACAGCAGAGTTTGCACAGATAGCCACAGGACGTAGTCTGAAGGAGAACCTTTCAAACTTGGGCCCATTTTCACAAAGAAAAATGATAGTAATGAGTTATAACATATCAACCCCCCCCAAAAAAATCCATGAGTCCATAGTAATGCTTAGAAGAGAGCAAACAAGTAATAATTCTTTGTTTTAGAATGCCAGCTAATAAATGTAGAAGGAATGAGTGAAATTAAAAAATTATCATTTTTTAATCCCCAATATAATCATTGATTCAAGCAAGGATCATCAGTGGTTGCAAAAACCACTGGGGGGAAGTTGTTGGGGAATATGAGGCACACGTGATCTCAAAGTGTCACTCCCCAGGTTATGTGCAACCACAGAAGAAATGCCCTTGCTGGGAGAGACTTGTCACCAGTTTTAATCAAATAGTCAAGTCTGATATCAGTAATGGGAGGCATAGCATTGTGTTGTTTAGTCGCTAAGTTGTGTTTGACTCTTCGCAACCCCGTGGACTGTAGTACGCCAGGCTTCCCTGTCCTTCACCATCTTCTGGAATTTGTGCAGATTCATGTTCATTGAGTCAGTGATGCTATCTAACCATCCCATTCTTTGCCACCCTCTTCTCGTCTCGCCTTCAGTCTTTCCCAGCATCAGGCTCGTGTGACTCTAGATAAAATGCAGTAGAACATTCCACGTCACCTATGTGCTCTTGTTGCCAGCCATGTTTTACTGTGATCTTAATTGTGAGGAAACAGTCAGATGAATCTGAGATGTGAAACACTCTGCAAGGCAACTGGCTTAGGTTCCATATTGGCCACTGAGAAAGACTGAAGAGATCCCACAGCCCAAATGCAGCATGTGAGCAGTGATTGGAATCTATCAGAAGAGTAGAGCACTGAAGGGCATTTTGTGGGCAGTTGGGGAATTTGAGTTTTTGAGTTAATGTTAATATCTTTTGGTAATGTTAATATCCTTTGGTATGCTAAGGGTGTTTGGGGGACATTCATGCTGAAGTATTTAGGTGTGAAATACACTTTCAGATGATTTGGCAAAAGGAAAGTATGTATGTGTGTGTAGATAAAGTATTATTAAAAAATTTTCCTCTTCCCATGCCTTTTATTCTCCACAGTGACTGTTCAGTAAATGCTTTGTTAGCATTTTTACTTAGGGACATAATTTGAATTAAATGAATCTTAAGAGCTGTACTCCTTAGTGCATTCCTGTGATTTTAATAACCTTTTCACACATGCCAAATTGAAAATCATTATGTATCTATACATGGCTCTTCTGAAAGTTCTAAAAAAAAACTACTGTTTTGCTCCATGGTGGCAGAATGAATCACAAACCACACGTTATTCACTGGTTGATTCTAATGTCAGAATCAGCCAGTACCTCTAAAGGTATGGAGCATGTGGGTATGGAAGGTGCACTGTTCATTAGTGTACCCATTCTAGTTAATTTTCATGTGATGTGTGTTTAGTGTGGGTCTTTACTGTAGGTTAGGGCTCAGATTGTGTCCTTTGTGTTTTTATGTGTTCCAGGGGCTGCCTGAGGATGTAGGGTAGAGGGACAAATAGGCAAAGCATCTAATGCTCTTGAGGAACTTACAGACACATATCTATGCACATACATACCCTTTTCTTTTGCCAAACCATCTGAAAGTGTATTCACACCAAACCATCTGAAAGTGTATTCACACCTGAATACTTCAGCATTCCCAAAGACATCATTACCACACGTTCCACACACA